GAGCATGACGGCGAGGAGTACGCGATATAATAATATATATGTACATACACGTACACGGGAGAAACTACACCACTCGGGTATAAGATTTACAAGGCCCGCAACAATATAACGTATACGCCGAGGTATAAATGCTTATCGGCCGGTAGCAGCGATCTGTTAAAGGGAATTAAAGGGGGGAAAAAAAATGATAATGGAAGGGATTCCGCGGCGAAGGAGCGACGGCGGTTGGGTGAGGGGGGCGCGACACGGAGGGAACGAGACGCGCGGGGCATGGTTGTGGACGAATTTAATTTACTACCTGACGCCGTCGTCGTGTTGAGGTGAGCTCAATTCTGGTAACCCTCGCCGCGCGCCTCGGCCGTTCGCACTCCCGGGATGGCGGGGGGGGGGCGAACGTCGCGCCCCCGCCCGTCCGTTCTGGCGTGCCCAGCGCCGGCGTTCTCGCCCCCTCCCACCACCCCCGGCGCGTACACGCCGCAGGTACGCCCCCCGCAAGTGTGTAGTTGTGTATCGGTAACGCCGCACCGCCGCCGTAGTCGTACCGCTCTACGCGTATACGTCGTATAGATACGCGTGTATATAAAGGCGGGCGACCCGCCTCTGGGCCGTTGCCGTTATCTCGGCGTTCCAGGCCAACCGCCTTTATCGCTCGATGCCAGGAACGGCGGCGGTCTCGCACAGCACGGCGGCGCGGAGACCGCGGCGGTTTACACTCGCTCGGCCGCCCCTACTCGCTACCCCCTCGCCCCCGCGACGACTATTTTTCGGGCCCGTAGGCGAAGGGTGTGGAGGAGGTGCGGCCCCGTACCGCCACCGCGGGGAGGGTGACGAGGTGTAGTGTACGTGTGTTATGTGCGCGTGTGTGCGTGTGGCGCACCCGGGCGGTCGCGACGCGTGTTTATATATTATCGTTATTATTATTATTATTATTATTATTATTATTATTATTATACAGCGTACAACAGCAGGGTCTTCCGAATTCTCCGCGCGACAGTACCCCCGTCGCAATTATTATAATTAGCGAAATTATGCGATTTTCAAAAAATCCAACACGTTCGGCGCGGGACAATAATAATTATACGGTCCGCGATTTTCGTTCAGTTTTTCTATTATCGTCGGACGCGCGCGGATAACGCGCGTACGGGGACCTTTGCCGGACGACGGCGACCTTTGCGACAGTCCCCGTGAATGTGTGTTGGTACGCCCGCGCCCGAATCCGCCGTTTCGAAACGATCTTTAACATCCGGCGACGCGGGCCCGTCGTTGACGGGACGTTCGTTCGGGCCACCGACGGTCGCGTCGACGTTACGCGGTGTATCGGTTGAAACCGAGACTTGATGCGGTACTCGAATATCCGACGGCGTTTCGGACACGCAAGCGCGTTAAACAAACGGCCGTTACCGTCGTTACCGCGGTATTCGAAACGTCTCCACTCGCGGATCCCACGCTCTTTTCGAACGGATAATAATAGGCGATGCATTCGGAATACCGAACGCCGTTCGGCTGTCCGATCATCACGAATGACAACGATTGCGACGATGACAGTGACAATAACGATTCTCCATTGCCGGTAGTAACGGATATACGACGGAGGTACAAGATTCGAGGCGCGAGTCGAGAAAAAAAACCAATCACCGATCTTCGGTCTTCACCGGCGCGAAACGTCCTAACGAATAACAAGGGCACTCGACTGTCCGTTAACTCACTCGAGTTAACTTATCGCCTATCAATAACGCAATAAATCGTGGTCTCCAAATACTTACGATAACAATCAAATAGTATGCGCATGATTGTCAAGTTGTTCGTCGTTGTACCGATCGAAATTGAACTGCGATGAGATTTTTCGGTACCGCCGCGCTTTCGGTCGGAACATTCTGGAACATATCCCCGGAACATTCATCTCTGCGCAACGTCAACGTCCCGTACCGTCATTATATAGTCTTGCGTCGGACGAAATTACTGGAACGGCGCTACTGTAAAATTCGCGGATTGCGACTTACCGTGTTCCATGAATACACACGGACGGCCGGAGGCATCGCAGTTGACGTCCCGAATGGAGTGTTCGCGCGGGACATTGGGGGAGGGGAACCCACGTCACTTTGTACAGTTTGCAAGACCCCGTAAATCTACACACACACACGCGCGCGCGAGCACACAGACGATATTTATCGCAGCCTGGGCGTCGGGTTTCCCCGCGCTTTCCGCCGGCCGAATCCGTTATCGGACGACGTTCGGTCGATGTAAACAGATTCAATGGGATACGTGCGATGTATACGTCGGCGGGGGCGGTGAGGAAAAAGACGAGGGGGAGGGGAGGGAAAAACCAATAAAGTGTTGGATGTGATAATAAAATGTTTATTTTTTTTTGTTTTTTTTTTTTCTATCGAAAGGGTATATATTATTACATTTTCTCTATACCGTCTGTCTCCGCTTTTGCCGCCCGTACCCCCTACCCGACTGCGAGTCACCGCGTACGCGCGCGACACGCGAATCGAAAAGACCACATACGTGCCTATAGGACACGCGCCGTTTGATAATATTGTTTTTGTACGCGATACGATAACGGTTACGATATACGGCGGCGACGATCGACACACCGCCGCGCCCGCTCCTCTCCGCAATGCGCTATACATGCAAAACGGCGCATACGACGCGCACCCGTATACGGAATGAAGAAAATAAATAAAAAAAACAAAACAAAACAAATAAATAATAAAACGCCGCGTGTTTATCTAGGTACGTACGTACGTAGGTATCTACGTACCGTCGAAATTTAATACCGCAGCCGAGTTGTGTACGCACGCCGGTAATGTAGAAAAAAAAATAAAAAAAGTATCGTAAAATCGATTTCGTACATCGGATCCGATTGCACATTTATCGTCGTCGTACCGAGTGTGGGCAGTACCCACGGCGCACTCGTATACGCCTCTAATAAAAAAAAATACGAAAATATATGTAACAAAGACGCTACAGTTCACCGCGGCAACGTTAACAAGAGTCCGCGGCGGTTTTGATACCAATGCGTAGTCGTTTGCGTTTTTAAAAGACTTTAGTTCGAATTCGGTTTTCGATTTTCGTGTACGTCGAGGGGGCCCGCTGCGCGCGGCCTGTCTTTACGCTCGAAACGGGCGGTTCACGGAGGGTTTTTACACTCCTGCGCAGCTCCATTAGAAATATTGCCGTTCGCCTCTGCGGGTTCTCTACCGCGACGAAAACCGTCCGTCCGACGCGCTTTATACGGGGCGACGGAGTGCGCGGGGCGTCTTTCGGGGACACCCGACCGCTCCCCCGGGTTTTCTCGCGCCACCGAAACCGGTTCGGACGCGCGAACGGACGGCCCGAAGTAAAATAATCGTAAGTTCCCGGCGCAAGCAATCAACACAACCGGCCCGTTTCTCGAATAGCAGTAGACGCGCGGACGATATTGCACAGTATTTATTACTCGCATTGTGCGCACGCGTCTGCGGCTTGTCGTTGTTGCTCAACAACGGTTTGTGCCTGTTCAAAGTTTGCGTCCGGCATTTTTGAATTTTGTACAACGTCCGCCCGAAAAACCTTCATTTATAATACGTGCCCGTGCACAATTAATGCGCGACCCCGTTTAAAATATGTAACGGCGCGGTCGGCCACAACACGGCGACGACGACGTTTGAAATACAGTCCGGCACCCCAACGCGGTTCGGGACCGGTATTTCACCGTCGAATATTCAACGGTACCACCGTTATCGATAGACCAGCACGGTCGGAATATACCGACGAGGTTGTTGCGCGTACGTTGCACACCCGTTGTTCTCAATCAGATATTTGACGACAAAAAAAAAAACAAAAACAGCGGCGTACAGGTAAGTGAACTGTATATGTTCACCGTATTTTTCGTGATAAGAAAATCGATATTTGCGACATCCCTTTGCGCAGCCATTTTGTAACTGATGATAGATAACGATCCGTGTCTACGTGCAATATCCGTTTCAACCGTGTCAATAGACACTGGATGGCCATACAGGATCCCCCAAACGTTCGTTTTATCGTTGGACGTTTCCCGTCGGTCCTTATTAATTCCCGTTGGTCGCGATTAAAGTTACCATTTTTTTTTTTTTGTATATTACGAGTGTATAGCAATATTATCGTATCATGTGTGGGATAGATTTCGCATTTATCCAAAGCAATCGATATGCGTTTCTCGTTTCGGTGTCCGACAACCTTCAAACAGATTCGCCGTAGTTTAGTTGAATTTAAGAAGGCGAACTACGCGTATAATGCTCGTATACTTACTTACGTATGTATATTATATGGGTACTTTAAATTGTTACTATCGCGTTGAAAACCCGTTTGCGTTGATAATATTATAATTTTCATTTTGCATACCTACCGGTGTTTTTTTTTTTTCTCTTTTTAAATAATCTTTTCGTCTAAATTATTCAAAAGTCACTGATAAGATACATAACCGACGTTTTATAAATAGTTAACGTTTTATTTCTTAATAATGTTTTAATTGAATTACCTAATGGAATTTGAATATAATAACATTGTATAAACGTAACTACACACACGAGATTGAAGTCTGATTGTGGTACACACCGATATAATGATGTTATGCACTCGAGACTGATGTACAAGCCCAATGCGCGGGTAAAAAATATTCCAAACGAACCGCGGTATATCAATTTTAATTCGACATTTTGTGTAAATAATGTTTTCAATTTAATAGATTATCGAATTATATGACCACAGTTATAATAGGCGAGATCGGTTTTTTACAAACACAAAACGACATAATTATAATTGTATAATAAATGAATAATATTATATTATATTATCCGATCCCATAAAATCATTAATTTCCATTCAAACGCAACTATTATATTATGATAATACTTACTCTTTTGAAAACCGAAATGAGTAATATTGTATACTGCGTATATTATAGAAATAATACTATAATTTATTATAATTATACCTACTATACTTTATCTATACAACTTATTCCCAAAATAAGATTACATAAAATATGTTCAAGGTTTGCATAGATAATGTTTTATATCCTATTATAGAGTTGACAAGATTACGAAAAAATTCTAATCGTAGATTTTTTTTTATTCTTATATAGATACATATATTACGTTATTGTAAAACCGAAATAATGTCGGAACGTGAAGTGAATAGTTAACGTTTAATTTAAATAAATATTTTTTTTATATTGTTACTGTCATTGGAGTCTTTTTGTTCCGTTAACTCCAATTCACGCGAATAATATCAGTTTTAGAATGTCGAAATGTAAAATCCGCCTTCTTTTCCTTGATGGCACAATATTAGTTTACTATACGAGAGTTTTCGCCGCCATCACAATCTCCGTCCGCTTTACTCGGTCCCGAACGGAGATATCTCTCCGCTCTTGTACTCCTGTGTTCTATCGAGGTCTTACACAACATCCGTTCGTACGTCTTATCCTAAGTCCACTCTGAGGTATCTTGTGTCCACAACGGTTATCATACTCGTTTCTTATTGTGGACAATCAAAATTGAATCGAATGTTTTCGTACGAGTCGCGTAGGAAGCTTACGACTGATGCCGTATTTTCTTGAAATCGTCTGTTAAATTTTCACCTCCCTCTCGTGCAATCGTAAATTTCCACCCTTCATATTTTGCTTTTGGACGTTCCTTCTTTCGGGCGGTACTATATAGCAGGCTAGCATCAAGCGCGCCCGCAGAATAAACTCCCACCCGGGGCAAAACGGAAAAACGTTTTATTCTAGAAATATTCTATGTCATTATCGTAAAATGGTATAGCATTATGTGTGATAAAAGTCCGTACAGTTGAAAATTCCATGGGAGGGGAGGGTAATGGCTCCTTTTGTTCGCCTCTCTGTGGACGTCCCCGGATAGTCTGCATAGTTTACGTCCACATGCATATAATCAATGAATAATATTATTATTGATTCGATTAGGTTCGCTATAATTAATTCGTCGACACGTGGTTAAATCGAACGACGGGCCAACGATTTAATTAATACGTTATTATAATTTTAGACGATCAACTGCAGCAGCTTTATAGTGATGTATACATATAATTATTATAATGTAGACGGTATAATAATATAATACACGGACGAACGAACGATCTTATGTTCAAACACGTACAGATAGCATTATAGTCCTATCAGTGAATATTGCACGTACCATTTTAATTTTATAGGTTTAATTTATCCGAACGAATAGGAAATTCGTTACCAGTAACCGCGGTAACTAATATTTCCCCGTATTAAAAATGGAAAACTTAAAAAAAAAAAAAACCCGAAAATGTTTTGTCCCGACAGTTATAAATTCGTGTTCATTGCTATTTTTTTTATTGGCGACCCACTCCAACGGAATTTAACCCTCCCTCAAAATTATAAATAACATATACTTCTCATATAATATTATATCTGCCGAATTTTATCTAACCGGATCGAGGAGTAGTGGCTCGGTCAAAACGGATTTCGAAATAAACACGTAGCCCCCGAGTACCGTGCGGAAAATAAAACGAATCAACTAAAAAGGTATATGAAACCCTCGGCCCCCTCCCCGAAAAGATAACGATTATCCGTATAACAAATAACCGACGTACCCATCTCAATTAAAAAACTAAAAAAAAAAACCTTCGCCATATAAATGTCGTTTAAATTGATTCGTACATTGTAATTATATATTTTTTTACTTTTTACCCATACCGATTGGTATAATTCGCTACAACACAATAATTATTTATGCGTGCGTAATATTATTATTATGATTATTGCTGGGCTGCGGCACGATAACATCAATCACAAAGTCTCTCTCTCTCACTCTCTCTCACTCACTCTATCTCTCTGTGTATGTTATTATAACAATATGTTATCGTTACGCGATTATCTTGTTTATGTAACCAATAACCATCAAATCGATTATTTAATTGTAATGATTGCCCGAGAACGCATTATACAATATAGTAGTAACACGGAACGGCACGAGACTTCAGAAGTTACAATATTATAAAAGTAGACCGTAATAATAATATTACGTTCGCTAAGTATAAATGACGGTTATAAACTATATTCTACGATATTAAAATGGAATATTATTGTACATGTGTACATGCACGCGAAGATACCGTGGAGATTAGAATGATTTTTTATGCGATTATAATATTATTGTGCCATAAGTGTGTACGATGCGGAATGCTGCGATATCCAAATCTATGTATACAGTACTATACCTACTTATAAGTTATTTTGTATTTTCGTCGATAATTATTTCGTTTATAATGTGTACATGAACACGATTCGCACCTATATAATAATTTTTTTAGTTATACGCCTACATAGTCGAAATATCGGACCGACATGAAAAATAAGATAGTATTGTATTGTGACCGAATAACATTGGCGAAAACTCTTAAAGTCGTAAACTCAAGAAAAAGGAATTGTTACACGTGGTTAAAGCAATCAACTAATAAATATTTAAAAGTAAACATATATTTGTCGTCTTATGTATCTTCTTTTTGTGGGTTTTGACCTCTGAGAGCAGCCCTCCTAGCGTATTTCCCGCCACCTTTTCCAAACCTCCACAACTTCCCACCGTAATCTATTCGGTTCCACTGATTTTACATGCTTCCATAAACAGTCTACCCACCTTAACCGTGATCTAGGTCCACGGTCTACCTATATACGGTCTTTTACCAATCGGGACTTCCTTAATAACCGTTTTAATAAGTGACTACTCTTTTCTCAAACATGTCCAGTCCATATTGGTCATTTCTTCCTAATTTGTTTTATTATTTATGATCGTTGAAACAAATTCCTCAGCTCTTTATTGTGACGTTATCTCTATTCTTCCATATCAAAATCGACACACGGTTCATAATTACTTCTCCTTTAATATATTTGTTCAAACACTGCCGTGGCGGTTCTCCAACTTCCCATGGAGTGCATATATTAGGGTATGAATCATACGTTATAAAAACGTATAATATTACTATTCTTTTTTTAGGGGAAAAAATCGAATTAAAAATCGTTTAACCCGACACGTGGAAATATAAGGGTTATGCGTTCGTGCAACACCTCGCACTTGTGATAATACGGATATAATTTGACAGGTTTCTTTAACATTAGTAATACTAATAGTACGCTGTATTTTGAAAATTACAACAATACGAGGTATTTATGACTTGAACGGTTAATATTATGCAGCGTCCTAGGGGAATTAAATGATGGCACGCGACACGGAAGAGAACTGAATTATAAATTATATTATAGACATAAGGTGCCTATATTATAGTTCATGTCGGACAAAATCACAAACTAGTTGTATGCCTGTCAGTCATAAAGGGCAGTAAAGGTCATTGAAATGTTTGAAAAGGCTAGTGTTAAATCCAAATACTGTAAAACCTTATGGTGAAAAGTATTTTGTATGACGATTTTTTAGAAAAAAAAAACTACGTAGAGCGCACAAAAATATTCTCATCTTTAAATTTTTTATTTGCGTTTCAGCTCCCACTTCAACGCTAATGCCATAATTTACGTTCAAAGTATAAGGGAAAAAGCGTACGGGACTTTTATATAGAAGATTATTTAATATTTATTTATAGTATAACAGTATGCGTGTGGCATAAAATGTTAAGTATAATATTTTAATCCACGTTGTCGGTATTCAAAATACGTATTCTATATTTAAGACTAAACCTTTAAACACGATACCTACACATATAATTTGAAAACAACTTCGCAGTATACACGGAACACGAATAATGCCTATAAAATGTAACGAGCATTTTTCCACGCCAACGGCTGTTCAAAATCGAATTCCGACATGTGCATATAATAGTGCACTGCAGTACTACGCTGTATAAATGACGCAGTAAAATAATAACGAGTACGTAAAATTTTTATCGGTCAAAACGGACAATTTAATTTAGTTTGTTCTAGAATGTTTATAGTATACCTATAATATGCAATCTTATTAAAATATATAAAGGCGACAATCTGATCCCACGCGGCTTTGCGAAATTAAAAAATTATATTAAATGTTCGTATTTTATGAGCGAAATTCGTGTGAAAGCACTGATCCCTGTCATTTTTAGAAGTTGAATATTAAAAATCACTTCGTAGTTAACCTCCGAGCAAGACATTAGGTTTCTATAGACAGCAATTTGGGCTGTACAATGAATAATCAATCAGTCATTCAGTCGAGACATGTTATTTAATATATATTACGATACACGAGTATAATAATAGACATTAGATAATCATGCGCACAACATTCTATGATTAAAAAATAATAATAAATTAATAAAATACAAACATCAGTAATTTTTCTCTATGATTCACTCGACTGCGTGCGCACAAATAAAATATATTATTAAACGATTGATTACACAAATTCGATAAGTCGAAGAGTATATTAGCATAATATGGAAAGCTATTTCAATAGCAACAACAGCATATAGTATCATACCTATCACGTATGTATATTATTATATTTGGTGTAGTTTTCGATGCGAGCAAATTCAATTTTGAAAATGAAGTTCACTGACTAACACACACTACCTACACTTACACTTGCGTAATTTAGACAGAGAAATAAAGTTTAAGTATATGTGCCGATACATACGGTCGGTCGATCGTCGACCCGTGGCCAGTGGCGTGCACGGGTGGGTGGAGGTCAGGGGTTAAATTACCGTATCCGTCTGCTTGAAACTACAAAAACTATGTGTATTCGTTTAATAATTTTATCGTGCAATTTAACGAGGAACAACGCTCGATTTATTTATTGGCTTTTTTTTGGGCCCGGCTTTCGAATTCCCGTTGTCGGGTTAGGTATAACAGAACAAGATTATACAGTTTTTTTCGAGAATCGTGGATTACTATTGTTTACTATGCATCCTCTCCGATCGCGAATTCCCGGGCTAGCCGTCGCAAATGTCCACCGGGGAACACTAATAAAATGCGGACGCAGGGGTTTTTCGTACGCGCGCAGCTCTGTGAATGATTTTATTTACATACGAGAAAAAAAAAAAAACGTCTTCATCGGTTCATCGGCGACCGAAATTCTCTGCTGTTCTAAGTGCGGGTACCGGGAAATAATTATTACTATCGATCGTCAATATCGTACCGAGTCAAATGAAAATGACGCGATTTCGATGATAACAATAATAATATGTTCTCCGCGCATGATACATTCGTATCGCGATAACGAGCCAAAACGCAGTGTTACCGTGTTTTCGTGTCTAATTTGAATTGACTCGGGTACTCGAAATAATAATACCGTTTGAAATTGAACCGTTAATCTCTCGACCATAGGCACCGCGTGTATGCGCAATATTATGCATTATTCAACATAAAGATTAGGCGAAACACCGCAGTTGTTTATTATAACGAAGTATTCAACACATCAACAGCCGAATTAACAATATTCGGTTTTTATTCCGCAAACGCGTACAACATTAACGCAATAATTGTATTCAGCGGCACGAAAACGTACCCTATGTGTAGGGCTGCGCGGTTATTTTTTTCCCCGCAATAATCGATTGTTCTAATAGTTTTCGATTATAATCGATATGAAGCGGACGATTTTGATCGGTTGTTCGATTATTTCATTATGATAATCGACCAATCGAAATAATCGCGCATCCCTAATCCTATGAAGCAGTTGCTTCGTGGCCAAATTATTAGGCGGGCGTACGCGCGCAATTTTATAATTTTAACGTAAAAAGTTAAGCACGTAAAAAGGTACGCTTAAGAGTAAAACCTTAATTACAGTAGCTCTTGATTCTACTGGATTTGTGTTATTGCATTATGACGTTTACGGCTATTTCACTAAAACCGTTTCAAAGAAAAAAACAAATTACACGCCACCGCTGAAAAACGCATTATACTCGTAGGTGCTTCAAAAATAAAAAAAAAGAAGAAAAAAAAGGAAACGAATACAGTTTATCTTGATAATAATATTAGTTTAACAATATCATAAATACTAAATAATATACGTACACGAACAACAACGAGATATTATTATATTATATAGTTGATCGATTGTCACTCGGTGTCACTGTATAACAAAAAAAATGAATATTTTAATAATTTTCGTTTACCTATATACTCGAATACAATGTCGAATTATTAATGCTGCGATCGATTTACCCGGAGTGTTACCAAATATGAATAAATCGCTATGCGTTCGTGTTATTATTATTGTTTTAAGTTGTAACAGATATGTTGGGTTTTGTAAAATACGGGTTTCACCATTTCCACGACGGATACGGACATAGTTGCACGAGACAAAAATTGTATTGTCTGTACAACCCCCTACCCGAGATATTGAATAAATCGATAATTGAAATGAAATACGATTTCGACAGGTTCTAAATGCCTTGAGAGGAATATAATTTATAATAATTGAGAGTTATTCATTCGAATCCAAGCTGTAATTTCACCAAAAACATTGTATTTTGATATTATTTGTAGCACTCAAAATAATTGTTTTTAACGAAAAAAAATACGTAACTCGAGTTACGGTTAAATTCAACTGAGTGCTTTCAACGAAAACCATTATCACAAATTAATTTTACCAACGAAAATAGAGGTAAATCGTTATTTTTTTTAAAAAAAATAACCATTTTCAACGGTCAACAAAAACAATTCTCCGGAATTACAACGCAGAGATTTACAGAGGTTCACTGAAAGAGAAATTAAATTAAATTAAAATTTTTGGAATCGGTTTGTTTTTTCTCTTAACAAATTCGTAAAAAGTTGTGGCTAGTAAGATTTATCAAACACATTTGCGGCGCATTTTCCGGTGGGTGTTTTAAAAAACGATCGTTGGACTTGTATTTAATTCTTTTTTTTTCTCGCGAAACAACAGGAGTCTGTACATTTTTTTGGTATTTATTTAATTACAACTAGCGGGCGGTGCCCTTTGCATACAAATTAGGTGGACACATTTGGAGATAATTTACAATAGGTAGTAGACATAATGATAAAATAATAATAATGTTGATTTAAGTACAAAACTTATAAATTATTGTTATTATAGTTTAAAAAAAAAATGTCTTTCTTCACATTTTCCACTTGATGGGACCATTGTTATAGGTGAATACGTTGGAAAGTTAAAAAGGAAATTTAAAGTTTATCTGTACGCAGCGATTAACGAAAAACGATTCTGAGCGGAGTTCGGTTATACTATGTGTTTTGAAAGGCCGTAATACTTACGATTTGAAAATAATACATTTCGTAAAGTTTTTCCGGTTTTCCTACGTTTTTCCCCATTTATCATGAAAACTCCTGGGAAAATTAAAAAAATGACTCGCCATGTAGTACCGTCCCAGTCAAATTTCTTTTCAGAAAAAGTTCTACACTCGAAAATCGGAGCAATTTTCCCGGTAGAAAAGTTGTTCACAGATAGAAAAAAAAAAATAATAAAAATAAAAAATAACAATGCAAATAACACCATCGTAAATTCAATACATTCCTCGCTCCGCCCAGAATCTAAATCTAAAACAAGTAAATTAAACGGGTAAAACGGGACCTCTATTGGCGATGGACACAAAGCGTTCTCGGTCGGTTCGTTAGTGATATTATCGTTTTTAAACACGAAACGACGTACGGCGGTGTACGGATACCGGAACAACACGCGTATTTCGAAGCTATTAAGCGACACAATACCAGCGCGATTACACGAAAGCCTCGCCCAACGGTAAACGTCCGTCTGTACGGCCGGCTCAGGAGCCTAGGCCCGGGAACCTTAGGCGACAGCCGTCGGAATCCCTCCCGCCCGCCCCGCCGGATCGGCGTAAAACCGATGTTGTGCGTATTGCGCACAGAGCGTTTTGCTCGGGAAGTCCGCCGGGGTCGCGCGGAAACCGAACGGAACGACGGGGAACGCCGCCGAACGCCGCGGTTCCGTCACGTCGCGCGCGAGCCGAGCCGCCCCGTCCGGGAACGGGTTCGGGTCGCGATGCGCCCGACATAATATCCGAATCTCCGATCGGCGCATTCGTAATTGTTACGCCGCGTCGTGTGCGCGCTAAACACACGCCTACTTGACGGCGCGATCGGACTAAACGTTTTTTTTTTTTTTTTTTTTTTTCAATTATCGTAATGACGAATCCGACGGCGGCGGGTTCCGGGGCCGCGCGCGGTCGGTCGGCGTCGCCCCCCCCCCCTCCCCAATCGTCGTCGTCGTCGTCGTCTCGCGCCGTCCGCCGTACCGCAGTCGTCGGATTTGACGGCGGCGGCGTGACCGTCGAAAAATTTATGTTCGCGACCGCGTCGGGTTTTGTATTATTGTTACGTACGCGGCTACGTATTTAAATTCGGATAAAAACATGAAAAAACGACAAAGAAACATCGTACTATATTATTAGGTGTACCGGTATGAACACGTCGAAAATTCGATCGTGCGGACGATGAAAAAAAAAAACAACAACAACGCTTAAGCGTGTCACCTTAACGATTGCGTTTCTCTCTTCTTCCATTAATTTTTTTTTTTTTTTTTTTCCCAGTCTCTAATTTTAATTCGATCGTACACGCCGTATAGGTACGCTACAAACTTATTATAATAATAATATATTCGTATTATACGGTTCGGATTCATGGTGGATTTACAGCGGTTATACGAGAATAATTTATTCGAGTTTGTGTTTGTATACAATGCATAAATCCCAACGACAAGGTAGAACCGTCTTAAAATTTAATCGTAAGAGATCAATTTTTAAGGCGGGTCCAAACGGACGTTCAACATAAGTATCGGACACCCGGTAGTGTACGATTTTGCTTACCGCGTGTGTGTGGCGCACTGGAAAATAAACGACGGTAGATTTTGTAACCGAAAATATCATATTTTATAATACCCACAGGAAATAATCTCACGCGGGAAGAGGGGGGAGGGGGTTTTAACAGAAAAGAAAAGTCCAAAATTTAAGAGGGATGTCAGGCCAATCTGCCCGTGGAGCTCTTACAAAGAGGTGAAGTGGATACGCATTTGATATTCACCAAAACAATTCCTCGTTTTATACTGTCGCAATAAATATGTTTATTGAAACACATGAACATCAGCTAACAATCTATTATATTATATAATACGCATTAATATCGATCTAAAATGTGACTATAAAACGTTATTATGCTGTACCTATAACATAAGTATTTTATGACTCAATAATTTGTATGTTTTACACGTACTGCGTGTACTGCAGTTATATTTTAATATTACAATGACACAATTACCGGCATGCAGTAATGTATACTGCAGAGTTCAATCGAGCCAGTAAACAGAGTTTGTTTTCGGGGGGTCAGGGAGCGTTTGCTTATAAATGCCGTTCCAAAGTCTCGGGAATCGCACTGTATCTACTCGTATTTAAAACCGTTTGTTTTTAGAAGAAACGCCTGAAGGCTGCTGCGCCATTGAAATTCAATCAAACCTATACATTTTATTTCTTCTGTTTTGCCTTTATCCCAACTATTACATAACGTGCGTCCTCTCGTGCCCCGATTCGCGTTTATCCGCACTGTTATTCTTACACTGTTTTCGATTCCCCTCTCCTCATGACACGCCCAAAGCATTTCGGTCTTTTTTCTCTCATTTGTCTAGTACCGAAGCTACCCGTTATGCACTCGTTCCTCACAGTCCCATCTTCTCTAACTCATCCACCTAAGCATTCTCATCTCAGATACATTCAATCAAACCTATACGTATTGTTTATGTTAACAATTATCATAATGTACCCACCTAGTAGTAAAATATTACAACAACACAATATATTAAGATGCACGGTACTATAAGATCTGTGCACACAATTAAACCGCATAATATACACGCTCGTTTTGAATATCCGTATGTAATACGTGAACTAAAGTAGATAATATATAGGCACCTAAAATTTACATATTTATAATATTATATTTTCCACTACTCTGTTGTGAAATCAATTACCTATTTCCTTATATACCGAAAACCACTAACCTATAATTCAATAGGTTTTTTAGTGTAAATTTTTCGGTTTTTTCCCGTCGCTTCTTTTAGGTACGCCGTTATCGCGGTCAAACGTATATATCAATATTGACGCGTTAAGAAGAGCAAATAGTCTCTCTCTGAAATAAACGTGCTTCACGCATGTGACATTTCGTATGGACAAAAAGAAAAAAAAAAACGCAAACCGAGAGCGATAATTTAATACAATAATAATTATCATAATATTATAAAATTTTGACGGTGAAAAAAAAAAATAATTCCAAAAATCCGTTTACGCCTGAAAACGAGTCGGTCTGGTTTATTGCCACAGTCACGCCTCAGAGACGTCATCTGTATAGGTACAGTTTTTTTCCCCGTTATCGTATACCGGAGCATTATTAGGCTAAATAAACCCGAAACAACTTTTTTTTTTTTTATTTACCACAAGTATATCTACTTAATGTCCATTATAATACACGTGAGATTTACTGCGAGAAAACACTTGCACTGCACACATCAGTGCACCGACGCCACGTGTGCATAAAATTCATCTCCACGACGAATTCAACGCGATTGCGACTATGATGGCTTCGGTTTTTGAAAACCATCGCAAACGATTCCCGTTATAAAAACATTTGTTTCGTACGTACAACGGATTACTTTATAGATTTAAAAAAAAAAAAAAACCTGACAGTCCGACCATAGCTACCTTCACACCCGTAATCTACTATATTCGGGTTATTCAATAGTCAGTGCGCTATATGACAGATATTTATATGCGATTACTTATTGGTTGGTCAAAAAAATAGCTAGCTTATATCGAAACGTGTTTCACGACGGTTCTAAACATAGCGTTTTTATTTTGGCATTTTTACCCGAACGCCGAAGGAGAAGTTATGTGTGTCGTTACCTTACTTCGTAGTGCCCAAACCCGTAGCGTTCATCTTGATCTCCAGTTTCGTAGGCTAGACGGAGGTTTAGAAAAAAAATTAAAGGAGGAGACGAATAAGCAAATAAAACCAACTGCGTAAATACAAAAAAAAAAAAAAAAAAAAAAAAAATTAAAATATAAAAAACATATTCAAATCAAAAGCGGTATTGCGTATTTAAAGCGAAAAAAAAAATAGAAATAATATGAAATAGAAAAATAAAATGCGCGATGGAAAAAGCGGTCTCGGATCGACACCCCCGAATGCAATAAGAAGTTATCGTTGAAGATCAAGTTATATCACTGTATCAGTCCGCGGCTGCTATTTCCGTTACATTTCATTTTTATATTTATTATATATATTACTTTCTATCTTTTTCGTTCGATTTCTCCGTAGTCGAGGTTTTTTTTTTTCTTAAATTAATTAGAGCATATTCTATCATATCGTATTCATTATTATTTTTTTTTTTTTATTTTAAAGCATATTTTCATATTTTTATTCTATAAACGCGCACATGTAAATTTACATGTGTATATATATTTTATTCAGCGGTTTTTAGGGCCTATACGTTTTGGCCTTATTTTTGACTATTCGGTACGCGAGAGTCCGATAACCCGAATGCACACTTTGTTCCCATCACAAACTGTTATTGTACTTTCTAGTTTCTAATAAAACGTTATCAATATTATAGATTGAACATATTGTATGTTATTATTTAAAAACGAATTAACCGTTGACTTGTATGTTATTTATTGCGACCTTATAACCACGCAAGTCCATAATATAATATATTATATATTATATACGATACATTTATAACTCATACGAGATTATATTATTATACACGCATATCGTTATCATAATATTATATTGTATACGAATAGCTATAATAATATTATAGCAGAACAAAGTGTTTTGCATTTAATATTTCAAGTTCCTTTGCTCGGTTCGTTTTTTGGCGTTTTTGATTTCGAGTATTGTGCTAGAATGTACTTTAGTTCTCTGTGTACGACATTTCGTTTTATTTTTTTCGCTTATCTTCGTTTTTTTGTTTTTTTTTAGATTTTATACACATTTTTTTTTTTTTTTTTAACGGCAACCTTTGTTATTGATTTTTATCGGAACAGTGTTTTTCTAAAACTGCAGTTTTATATTATAACGGATCTATATTTTCAATTCTGAGCGTATTCTGTCTGTGTAAAACTTTTCTACAAGGAGTCCTTGCCTAAATCAAAAAATTACTAGACAGCTTTACGGTATAATTTATAATTTAGTTGGTCCATCGAAAAATCATATTTTTATTTTTCAAGTTGTTACTAATATCGGAGGAAAATATTTTGAAGCTATGCATAGCATTTTATATTTTATATTTTTTGTTCTTTTTATTTGATTGTACATGGATCAAATTGTTTGTCCAAACAGGAATGCTTGAAAATTCAACGCAAAGTTTATTACACGTTGTAATTATTAGTACAAAATAACGTAATGTAGTTGCGAGTATTTTAATTTAAAATTATAACGAAAAACTAAAAAAATACAGTTTTTTCAAACACGTTTATCCGAACTTCACTCAGAATAGTATTTCGTCAGCAATGATTTATCTTTGTGTACAGATATAAATTAAAATGTATATTTTATAAAAGATACTTATAAAAATGTCCTACGTTCCCAACTTCCCACCTACAACAGTGGCTCACCTATCAGTAGTATCACCAGATTCTTTCTTTCTTTTTATTATACGTATTTTAATGTGATTATAACTAAATTATTATTATAAGAATTCGTTCATCTACCAAGAAGTTATTTTTACGGGAATTTAACCTTTGAGTTCTTTAATACCACTTATGAGTATACACATAATTTTATAAACTCAATACAATCGGGATGTTTTTTTTATTCATTATTATAAATCGCGCATTAATGATAATTACAAATTTCCAATATTACCCGATCCGACCCGTCTAAGAGGAATCGTTAAAAATTCCATAAGACAACGTGTCGAGTACAAAACGTGATCGCAATTTGTTAATATTCTCGCGGTAGTCATGAATTTAAAAAAAAAAAAACATTATGGTCTTGCTACTTCAACTGCAAAAAACATCGTATTTTACTGTTATTATTATAATATACATTTGCGTCGTCCTGCACTCAATGTCGGATAATCATTTTTCGAGTGGACCATAAGTTATCTATCCTCGTGCAGACCCCTCGGTATGTGTGCGATGTGTGTGTGTGTTTGTGTATAATGTATACATGTATACATAGATGCATCGACTGTTCTTTTTTAAATTTTCATTATACTCCGGTGGCTCGGCAATATCGGGCCACTTCATCGACAAGTTCTATACCGATGCTGAAAAAAAAAAAAAAAGGAAAGAAAAACCTTCATTTTTTTTTCCTGCAGTGGAAAATGGAGTTCGATTCCGTGAGATAAACGCCAAAAACAAGAAAACGGGGTCGCGGGTCGGGGATTTCAATTCTCATCGTTGCGTTTAACACATGATACTTCATATATAATTTTTCATTCCGTCAGCACCTTACACTTTTATCTCCGTTCCTACATCCCTTATTCGCCCGTCCTTTCTTTATCCTGCACGCTGAAAAGGATTTCGCAGATAGCATACCGACTGTCCTGCCGTTGAAATAAATTGTATTTTGAATAAGTTCAGACCGTTTACAAAATGAACGTTTTTATATAAGTATTATCTGATTCAATAATATATGTATACATACAATATATAAATAAATAAATAAATATATATACATATATGTATTATGTCCTAGAATGTTTCGTGCACGTATGTCTGCGTAGGAAAAAAAAAAAAAAACCTGCGTTTAGAACGATAAAAATAATATACAAAAATAAATAAATAGCCATCGTGCTATACAACAATAATAATACATACGAGTTATAATCTACGCATTTGTCCCCGGAGTATTTTATTATTAATATTTTTTTTCATAATCATTTTTAAAACAATTATAACATAATCTATAATAATAATAATAATATAATATTCGGTGCATTATGATAATTTATAATGTAAAATTGCAGCAGATTATTATTATTTTTTATAGCCGGTCCAGAGTTGATATTTTTTAATTTTTTTTTTTAAAGATTACGCGTAAACATTACTATTACTTATTATTATTATTATTGAAATCAAATTGCCTCGGTGCGCGTAAATAATAATATAATAATTCGTTACGGTTATCGTTCACGACCGTTTTGTAATGCGTCAACCGTCAGTGGCGGCGCGGCCGGGAATTTTCGACGGGAGGCGACGTACAGCGAAATATAATAATTTCTATCGGGAAATCTCCCGGGCGTTTACAAGTCGAACTCGAAAGAAAACGAAAGAAACGAAACGGATTTTCCATCGACACCTTTTACTCATTGTAACTCTGCCGGAATTTCGAGTCGTACGTGAGATTAAAATTTCCTATGTGAACACCGTACGTATAAAGTGTCGCGTTAAAAATCCGACGGGTATCGGCGGCGGGGATGATGGGAATATGACATCTAACCTCCCGGCTGCCGCGGAACACGATAACCGTAGAGTGATAATAATAGTAATGATATTGTCGTCATCGCTCTGTACGCGTTCAACGGGTTTGTTGTTTAAAACTATTACGACCGCACAAGCGCGTTCGCGCATAATGTATAATAATCATAATGTACAGAAAAAAAAAAACGTGTTGGCAATGTTTCTTTTTTCCGCGTTATCTGCGTACTATTATCGTCGTTGTCCATTTATTCGAGCCCTGGTTTTTTTTTTTTTTTTTTTTTTTTTTTTTGTATACTTTTTTTTTCCACCCGATAAGAACATAATACGTTTATGCGTTATATACCTACGCACCTCTACCTACGTTTAGCGCAGCGCATCACAAAAACACTGATTGGTAGCGTTAAGTCAAGGACGCGCGAGCGGGGTTCGATAACGCGGGCGAAATTAAATAGACATCAGGTAGCCGCCGCCGATTATATCCTGCCGCACAGCCGCCGCCGCCGCCACATCCTCGACGCTCCCGCGTATAAGGCCGGCCTCAGGGAAAAGGGTACGCGGCGCCGCAGGGAAAAAAAAGGGACGGAAGAAACACGCGATCCCCGCGGTCACCCGCCAACACCCCCCCCCCCCCGCCCCTCGCCGTCGCCGCCTCACGACTGCGCTACGTATATATACGCACACATAAAATAAGGTGATTACCTTATCTGACGATGAGCACTCTTCACGGTTGGATAAGCAATTTTTCACCACCAAACACACACACACACACACACACACACACACACGCACGCACACACACACGCACGCACGCACACACCGGCGTTACCTACCCGCCGCCCCCTTTTTCCGTGTTGTGCAACTCCTTCGACGCCGCCGTTATTTCGTCTATCTGATCAATGCCTTTTCAACAATGATTCCGAAAAACCCCGTGTAGGCTACGCGGCCGCAGACCGGCGTGGAAAAACGTTCCGCGCCGCCGCCGCCGTCGCCGCGTCATCAGCGCCACGACGGAATAATATTATTATATTATATAGTCGAAAAGGTTATCGCGGCGCTTTCACCGACGCAAACGTAGGCGTTTATAACCGACCGCCGATCGCCGTTGGTCGGTTCGTCTCCACAACGAACTCCGTGCGAAAATCAACGTGTACGCCGGCGAGAACGGGCGTTCGCAGTGAGGGCGGGCCACGGTGCGTGTAAATCGATATTTTCGGAGAAAAACGTCTACAACGTCTCCGGAACAGGAAAAACGGAATTCTCCAAAAGAGAAAAAAATAATAAAATAAATATGCCGTAGTGCACGCAGATACTTTCGGTCCCGGAACCCGGACATAATTGTGTACTTTTCATTCCGGAAAAATGTCCCGTTTCCCATTTCCGGACGAGCCCGGGAAATACCGGGGAATACGGTTTGGATAAATAATACGTAATACCCTATCATCTGGCCTACAACAGTGCCGGGAATGTATGTATGCCGGAAGTTTTGATTGATTTTAATTTGTGCATCGCGCGTGCGTTCAAATATTTCCTTTCTCTCTCTGCGCGAGAGAAACACACATCCCCGGCGTCATGTGGCACGCATCACACCGAGAACGAAATCGCACGCCACAATGGAATGTTTTTCACTCGGCCGATTCACGTATTACACGACTTTACTATTCCAATAACCACCAGAGAAACAGAAAAACTATCGTCGGCAAAGCCACTCGAAGTTGGTGTATTGTATTGTAGAACTATATACCTATAATACATTATGACTTTATTAAGACCTTAAAAACGTAAAAGTACCAAAGATATCTTCGCAAACATATCACGGTTAAAACGATTGAAAAAACAGAACAGTGAAAATCTTAGAACAATATGTATTGTATAAAATGTACTGTTTATTATTTATTTTATTTAATATTAGAGGTTTTTGTTACGATAGGCCAGATTACGGTCAGCAATATAAGAATTGCTAGACGCTGCAGTGCCGCAACCGAATACGACGTTCACATTGATTATCATTCTATAATCACAACATAATCGCGCTCTTCGTATTTTTATAATCGACGTTTGATTAAAATTCGAGAAATTATATTGGAATATGGATTGTGAAATCTTTACTTAAAATGTGATTTGTGAGTGAATTAAAACGATATTTTTAAATTAAAACAAAACGTCTGTTATTCGCAGTATTCCAGATAATGAAAACAAAAACGATTTGTACAAGGTCAACTGCGTATGTAAATGATCAAAAAAATTCCAGCGTTTCCACATGCAGGGCCGGATCTAGGGGGAGGGGGTGAACTGGGACATTAGCTCGGGAATTCTCGGTCGCAGGGTCTCGAGTTACCAAATGATAGGTCGATATATTAACAGTTTTTATTCATTACACTCTAACCGCTTCATAATTAATCAAATATAAAACATAGCGAATTCGCCCCGGGTGAAGAAAAAAAAAAAAAAAAACAAAAACGTTGGACACGGCGCTGACCAAACGAACCGAACGAATATCAGTGTCACCACATGAATCACGGACAAGGACGCAAATGACTAACGAAAACGAGTTGAAAATAACGCGCAACAGAAATACACGATATAGTGGCGGTAACAACAAGTAACGGCGGCCAGGGCGTAAAATATACGGGCGGAGACGAAAACTAATTGTTGGCGGGTTCTTACGGACAGCGACTACGCGCGATACGTTTTTGCCGGTAAACCGGGGCCGGAGCGACTTCCGTTTGGTCAGCACGAAAAAAACTTCTTGTCGATATCAGTGACGACTAGTCGCGTTGTACGACGTGGTCGGCGATATGCGCGTACGTGAAGCGACGGCCCGCCTCCTACTGTCATTTCGAACGCGCGCAACGAGTCTTAATACCCCCGCCCGCCCCCGCCCGCCGCAGCAGCCACCGTTCTATAAATAATTGTACGACGAATCGCGCGCGCGCGTCGAGCACCCCATACGGCGACTCGTCGCTAAAATCGGCAAACAAGAAGAACACCCGGTTGGCTCCCGCCGTCCGCGATTCGATAATGCGACCTAAGGACGCGTACAACACGCGCACGACGGCGAAGACGTCAAAAATACAATACGAGTAGACGCAGACAATATCGTTGATAGGTTATCACGTGTACAACGACAACGGCGGTTGCGGCGGGGCGGGCGGCGGCGACAATGACGCAAACAAATTGTTAACGGGTTCATTACGTTCAGACATGTACTCTCGTATGTATACAAAAAAGGACGCCGATCACAAAAATTCATTATTCGACGCCCCCACCTCTTCGAAAATTCGTACGCGAGCTAAGTGACTCGTCGATCGTCTGTATACGGACGCCTGTGTGACGCGTCTGCGTGACGCCAAAAATGTCCATTATACACGATATTTTAGTGTTTTTTTTTTTTTATCAATATCCAATGTGAGCGTGAACGTCACAACTTTACTACGCGGCCGTGTTCATACCACACATACCGAACGACGACGCGATGCGACCGGAATTCGGTGGCACTGTTGTTGCCAGACGTAGATTTCAACCGGCTCGATTTCGACTGTTAAAAGTTTCGATCCACCGCTCAATATTCCCAGCAATCAGCATAATTAATTAAACATTTAGACAAACGATTATTTTCACATGATATTTGAGTACAATAATAGTAACATATTGAAACGACTAAAATTACAGAAACATAGTAACAAAATGGCGTACATAAAGTTGCAAACTCGTGCTGAAAGCCAAGCTTGTGTGGCCTAGCTTGTGTAATTATTATTATTTAATCATTACCGTTACAGATATATAAATATATATGAATATTTTACCGGGCGAAATACGCGAGTAGTCGCCAACGCAAACCGATCCGAAACATTTTTATAAATCGGAATGGGCCTATATCAGTTACTTGTGTGTAATAAGAAACATTTACTTCAAACGATTATTTTAAAATTAATTTTTATTCGTTGAATATGGTTTTAGCATTGATGGCATTCATCATGTTTTACTAGTGTAATCAGTGTTCGACTTGGGGGCGGAGGACGTAGAAGAACGGAATACTTCGATTTATTTTTTAGAAATTGAATCGTTCCACTGCTATTTGTTTTGAGTGGAACACGTGGTACGGTATCCACTTATTTTTGCATTTTTATCGAAATGTATTACTTTCATTAAAATTTAAAGTTTAAACGCTTTTATATAAAAAAAATATATATATATACTACCTATATTGCATTAATTTTGTTATTTACCACTAAAGTGCATCTCGATAAATTTTGTTCATAATTTTCGATCTTTTTGCCGGGTCAATCGAAAATTGTCAGACTGTTTTGAAAATTTTGCCTTGTCTAAAAAGGACTAGTATAAAGTATTTGATAAAATTTCCGACTTCCTCCATTTTTTTACAATTAATAATAACAAAATAAAATCGAATATAACAGAAACAAATATTGTATAAACATTCATATTTTCCGAAGTTTGTTCTCGATTTTTCCCATTATATGGAAAATTACAAGGAAAATCGTAAAATAATATAATTTTCCGCCACAAACCAAACCTAAAGTTGCTAATCGAAGCAAAATTTCTGGTAATCTTCTCCCGCTCTTGATCCAACACTGCTTATAGTTATGCTTATTTTTACTATGACAAATTCCGATTGATTTATTTTATCGCAATCGTTTTTACATTATTATATTACAGATATATACAATAGATTACATTGCTAACTGGTGATAAAAATTTTCAATCCGCTATTCAATTCAAGGTTCATGGGCCTTATCATATTGCGCAGAAAACTGTTATATTTGTATTATATTGTTAACAATCACAGTTTTGGACCTTGGTCACCGCGGTAACAATATTGTAAAAAGACAGATTCCATAGTTGTCACAATGAAAAATGCACAAATTTAAATTTTTTCAAATGGGTTATAGATATAGACTAATATAATGAATTGAAACAAAATATACAACATGCGTCCTAATAAACAAATAATCAACGCATTTTCGACGAGACATTCGAAATTAATAGCCGTATAATTAAAAACCCGTCATATGACATTAAAAAGACCTTGAAGGGAATTCGTTTTTAGATTCTAAGGGTATAGTGTATGGAATTTATTTCTTTTTTTAGTTCTGTTTAATAATCGAATACAGAGATATTTAACTGTGGTACTAACGACGAATAAATTACAAAAATGGAATCTACATAAATGAACATCGTCTCGAATAAATATTTCGGAAAACGCTATGAGACCTAAACTTTCCGTATACTTTCTATTTTTATTGCATTTTTTTGATATTAATATCAGCATGCAGTCGAACCTGCTCAAATATTTCGAGCACTATAATATACACTTGACGGTATTCACCGTGGAAATGAACGGAGTAGTTTTTCTTGAAAAAGTTTTCCGACCATCTCGTTCACAATAAACTGTCGACGGTTTAGCTGACCGGGATTCGTAAACCTACCTATATATTTTATTATGTTATACAGGATAGCGATGGTAATTCCATAAAATATGTGAACGACGGATAAGCATAATAATAATAATAATAATGATAATAATAAAAAATAATAATAATGATACGAACGTGTTCAACGGGAAATCTTATCCGCGCAGTGTTGATAAAAACCGATAGTGCGGGTAATTTATCACGGAGGGGAGATAATGGTAACGATTCAAAAAGTTATCTGTCGAGAGGAAAAAGATATTATATGTTTTTTTTTCAACTGATAAGAAATATATACGTTTCGTCGCAGGGGGGAGGGGTAGAAGAGTAATGTTTCCGGTCGAACGACCGGATGTGCGTCGGAAGTCAAATGAAATAATAACGATAAAAATCTAAGTGTACAAATTTTTGCAGTATATATACTTGTTTATGCAGATATTTTTCATTTAGTTTGAAGATATTAAATTATATTGTTGTATAATATACGCATTGCATAATAGAAGTACAACGCAATATTACTCATAATTATAGATTTTCATTTTATAATTATTAGATTTAAATGCTCTAATACATTATTGAAAAATGTTCTAAAGAAAAATAGCCGAAAATGGCCTAAAATAAAACGCCTTCTGGCGAAATAATACCCTTAAAAAATTACTTAATAATGAGAATAAAATTCTCTAAAAAGTTAAGCCGTCAGTTCGTATAATGTATAAACAAACACTGTTAAACTAACAAAATATTAATCGAAAAATATTACGGGGAAAAACGCTCTTATAATACAAAATCAAAGTTTCAGTTTTTAAAGTGTGTTTGACGGATCGAATTAGGTACCTGGAAAAACGTTGTCTTCGGTGGCGGATCTGAGGGTTTTTCAAATGGCGGAGGGGTGAGAGGTGCGGGTTTTATGTAAAAGATTGTATATTATACAAAAAAAATTATAGAATATAAGAACCGCATAAAAAAAAATAAAAAAAAAAAAAACATCCCTTGTATCTGAAACTGATTGGTACAGACCGTTCCCGAAAGAAAAACACTTTACACAGTTAACCGGGCGCCGTACACTAGTATTATTATTGTTTTCGACGTAAACGACGGTGGATAATGTGTTTATAATTTCGACGGGAAAATAAAATCAAAGAAACGTCGAATTTAGACAATTTAATTTTCGAAAATGTTTTACGAAAACCGCAAGACAAGAATTTAGCACTATAACAATAACAGTAATAATAATAATGTAGCGTAGTCCCGCAGCAAACCGTATGATATAGCTAAACGGGTAATCAACTACGTATTATATTATACGTGTATATACGTATATTGTTATAATATATACACAGACGTTGATTCGAGTTACGATACAGCTTAAGTAAACTTAAATCTATTATGCACTTAGAGAGTTATAGAAGTTGGATTATCGCCGCGTTCGAATACTGTACACAATAATACACCGTTTGACCTTATCGTTATCGAATAAATTTAAGGAGTTTAGGTACGCGCCCGCGAATCAATTCAATATTACTGCGGGGAGATATTATTATAATTGTAAATTTACATTTTCGAAAATTACATTATAACGCCGAAAATGTACAGTGTTGTAACCCGTATTATATTGGCGCAATATTGCGTTAATCGACGGGTTCAAATCGATTAGGAACCCGGATATTTATCGATATAACAAATGTACATGACGTATGAAAAAAATAAAAAAAAAAAACAAAAACCTTTTTAACAAGAAGAATAGACGATATTATATTCGCCGATATTCCATTAACCCGAATACCGTCCCGAAAATTTCGTCGGACGGTATAATACCGCGATATTATTATAATATACGAGGAGTAGGTATACATAAGTAATTATAATAATGATATTATGTACTTAAAAATTCGAGTCCGCCAACCGGTTTGCTGTTATTTTTTTTTTTGTTTTTCAAACGACCTCACACTGCGTATTAGAGTATACGTTATATCGTAACCAATAATGTCGCACGAAAATAAATCATAATGCGTATGTATAAATGCGGTTTTGTGTACCATAATAATACAGTGTGCGTCGTCGTCGGTCTGATACGGCCGATTTAAAAACGCGTAATATTATTAAAATATATTATCGCGGCCCGTTCGGTGTATCATATATTAATATCGTTATAAATAATAATATTATTGATGAGATCGACGGGGCGGTTGGGAAAGGGGGCGGCCGGGAGCGGTGTGGGACGGGGCGGGGGAAAAAAATATAATAATCATCATTCGCAACATTAACGAACGGAACTTTCGATGCATTTCATATTTGCAATAAAAGTCCTTTTTAATGGTCTAATAAATTCGCGTGCAGCGCCATCGACGCATCTGATAACGAACGGCACACGATAAGTAAACGAGGGGAGGAGTGTGACGGGAACGAAAGGGAGAGAACGGCCGGGGATGGACTGGGGGGGGGGGATTGCGGGGAAAGAGGGCTAGAGCATCGATTGAACGTGTTCCATATATACACAGGGAATGAAAGTCATTAGGGACGTTTTCCTTTTAGATAAAAAAAAAAAATATATATATAGAAAAATACTGAAGTGATTGTTAATTATAATATTATTAAGATGGGTAGTCATGTAGGCCGGTAACTCGGAACGACTTAGATAGTATTTGAGCTGTATATAGATAATATTGTTTTAAAGACTGCAGTATTATTTTTTTTTGATATCGCGATTCGAAATCGTCCCGAGATTATTCCTCGAACACTATATTATTATATTATATTGAACGCGTATCGCATTTTATATTAAAGTAAAAAAAAAAAATAATGTAAAACGTTCGGGAGAAAAAAATGCGAACCGTTTTGAACTGTACAAATGAATTATGTACATGTAACCACAAAATCCGCACGATTAAAAAAAATAAAAATAAAATATCACGATATTAACGTACGATTGAAAATGCATATACACAGTCTGCGCGTTCGTTTACGGTATCGGATTTTTTGTAGATTTTTCAAATGAGTTAGATCGGACAGCATATAAATCCGGCATTGTTTTAATGCGTTCAAAAAGTGTCAAATACGGTGCAAATATCATATACAAAGAAAAAGTACATGATTATATGCGTTATACTCGATTCAAAATCAGATCCGATACTGCTGAAGGGCGTGTCACTGTTGGAGGGGAGTTCGAAGGGAGAATATTAAACAAGCAGAGTAAATAAACCGTGGCGAACGAAAAACGATTCTGAGCCAGAGTATAAATTATGTCGTATGTTTTCTCTTTTTGCCAAGGTAACCCGGAAATGTATTAAGTAAACTACAAGGAAAAACAAACAAAAATAACTCCACCATAGCATACCTTTTAAATTGGATAAATATGTCCGGTAGAAAAGTTGTTTACAGATACAAAAAAAAAAAAAAACCGCATCGTAAAATCAATATATTCTTCGTTTCGTTCAAAATTTAAAAATTATTAAAAAATAATAAAACACTACATTAGTGTGCTATTTTTCACGAATCGGTATACCGAACGAGAAATACTCAAACATCTAAAACTCAAACAAATTTTATAGATTCAATTAATAAAATACAATGTTTTACATAATCTATAACCACTACGAATATTGAAGATCCTTTAAAATAACGTCTGAAACTTACAGAAAACTTGGAAAACTCAAATTTACTATATAATAATATTTTAACATAATTCTGCAAATAAATAACAATATCGAGGAGGGTTTTTTTTTCCTTCGTAAAATCGATTTATCTCATAATTTAATTTGTTGGTTTATGAAAACTGCGTTAAATGCATATTATATGCATTCGTGGACTAATATGCAACAATGCCAATTTAATCATCCGAATATGCCAAATGAAACGTGTTGTTTGAATTCGACGTGATAATAAAAAATATATCGTCGACATTTGTTCGAACCATCATCAAATATCGCACGTGCATATACACAATGAACAAACACTATGGACATTATATGCACATTGTAATTCGGGGCTCTAAATTACAATAGACATAGATAGCTAGGTACACTTTTATTACGACGTGAAGTTTGAAAATAATAAATTATCAACGAATAGATTATAATTTATTATGAATCGCTCGAAATGGAACTTGAAAAAAAAAAACAACATAATAGCATGTTGAATATTATAATAAAAATGACACTCGGCCCCGCATTATAATCGTATTAATCCTCAAACCTCGATCCTCGTATCGGTCGTATACAGTAACTAAAATACTTCACGACAATTTGGGTACAGTCAATGATTAATATCATGCAATATGCATACATTTAAAGCTAATGATTTTTAATTTTTTTTTTTGTTTTTTGTTTTAGTTCATTCGGTATTACAGACGTGCACCGCAAAACAAAGTAAAAGTTATGCGGCATATTTCGAATTCATTTGTATTATCCTAAATACCTTATCCTGCAGTATACGGGAGAACAACGCCATTAGCAACAATCGATTTTATCGTCGTGTTATTCGAGACACATTAAAATCGTATATTATTTATCGTTATGAAATCAATTATCCTTTAGACGTTTTTTTTTTTTGGAATAATAATGTCTGCATCGAGTTCGAGTACAGTCGTGACGTAGATAATATTATGAATACGTATATTTCTGTCTACAGTACACAAAAAAAAAACACACACCATAAAGCCGATAAGAGGCTAAGAGAGTTTTGATCGAAACCTCGGCACGGGACGTGGCACGGTAGGTATACGGGATTGAAACGTAGACAGTTTTTAAGACAACGAGAAAGTAAGAATTGAAACATTTAAAATGCGGTGCCGGAGTAAAGTTTTGGACATTTCAAGGCCAAACAGAATAAGGACCGAGGAAATTCGTCGTAAGATATGCGACACGCTGCAAAAGACAACGCTGAATGCGCTTAGGGGAAAGAACGAAAATAAGTGATGGATTAGACAGTAAATAAAGGGTAACGGTAGGGTTACGACAATAATGATCTCGAAGGAGAGTTGACGGAAAAACAAAAAGGAAAAAGGGTCAACGACGTGAAGCAAATGATGGAAGACACCGCGGGGATTAAATACATAAAATGCAACAGAATAATAATTATGCGAGACAGAGACATAGAAGGCTCAGAAACGACATAAGCAACAATAATTTAATCAACCCTAAAGGGGAGGGATTTGAACAAATCAACCTCCGAGACGTAGTATTTAATACGTTTCGACAAATTAAACACAAAAGTCAAAAACTAATAAACAACAGTGACATAACAGTGTTGTCTACTATAATAATATCATTGCAAGTATATAATAGATTTTGTAGATTTTGAAGTATAAATGTATACATGTATATATTATGTTACAATAATAATTACTTAGGTATCCAATTGCATTTATACTTATCATTATGGCAGTGTCGAATATTATTTTGATTAGTTTTTTTTTTATAATATTTTCGTTTAATTTTGTTTTTTTTTTTTTTTTTTTGCGGTGCATTCAGACATTCGGTATAATATTACTATAATAATAATATCTGTGTAATTAAATCGAAAAAAAAATCTAATCACGTGTCAAATCAATAAACACAAATAATAATAATGTGCGCGTCTAGACGCATAAAAACGGTGTTAACATTTTCGAAAATAACGAGTTGTAGACATCGCGGAACAAAAATCGTTTAATGTTTAATTTGTTTTAAACGTATTCTTCGTATAGGTTAATTTGATACGATATCGCGATAACAATTTTTTAAAAAATCTTTATATAGGACTCAGGGAAAGTATACAAAAACTCATTATAAACCGATAAATAAATCGAACGAATTTTAGTCGTTATGAAATATTTAAGAGAAACTTGAGAAACGTTTAACATGAGAAATATTGAATTATTTATTATCTTTCCATATACCAGTTTGGCTGTAAATACGAAAAAAAAGAGCTAATACCGGGGATGGGAGCGGCCGCTGTTGTAGGTGAGAAGTTGGGAAGGTAGGATACATGAGGTTACTTCATTTATATTTGTAAGCAACGATAAATCATTGCTTGACGATAAACGATTCCGAGCGCAGTTCGGTAATACATAATTTTTGCGATTTTAGTTTAAATTTGATTTCAAAACGCTTATTAAAAAATAAAAGTCGCCCAATAATTTTAGTAATTTTACCACGTCTAGGTAAGTCCAATATAAATATTATAACTAAGTTTCAAGTTTCTACGTGTATTTATAACCAAATTACAGTAAAAAACTCCCAAAAATTGAAATTCCTTAAAAGCTCAAAGCTTTTGGCGGTGATGCCGTAGGAAAGAAAATCAAAAAGGTGTCTTGTGATTTTTCGATTAAATCATTTTTTCTGGTAGAAAACGTCGTCCGTGTTTTTACAAAATAATGAAATCGTGAAATTGTACGTTTTCCTACGTTTTCTCCCACTTATTACCTTTATATACCTTTATTTAAAAAATGGCGTCGAAAATCATAAAAATTAACTCTTTAAAGTACTATCTAGACAACTTCAGCTTTCAAAGAAAGGTGTTACACGTAAAAATCGGACTAAGTTTACTAGGAAAAAACGTGTCTACAGATAAGAAGAAAGAAGAAAATAAAAATAAAAATTTTAGTAAAACCAATAGTTCCTTCGCTACACTCGGAATCTAAAATATGAAAGTTTACTGAATTTTAGATTCTGAGAGCAGCTAACAGTGTATTGGTTTACTGTGTTTTTTTGTCTGACTATAAACAATTTTTCTTCTAGAGATTTTCCTCCGATTTTCAAACGTAGCATCTCATCTAGAAGTAAAACTTATCTAGATGTTGGATTCGGATGGCTTTATTATTTGAATTTCCATGTAATTTTTTTTTATAATTGGGAAGAAACGTAGGAAAAACGGGATAATGTAAACAACAGTTTCCGTTATTATTGATCTTATTTTTTTTTTATTTTGGCTGAATGGGAATGCTCGGAAATTATACATGTATATCCGAACTTCGCTCAGAATCGTATTTCGTGTACAATGATGTATTATTACATATGAATATAAATTGAATAACTCTGTTTATTCTATCTTCTCGACCTCCCGCCTACAAAAGTATCCGGTCGGGTGATAGCTCTTTTTGAATATACAGTCTGGAAACTTGTCTAAAAAGGTAAAAAAAGGTATACGGCGGGCTAAACGCGCAAAAGTCGTTCCCTCGAAATAAAAATTGAAAAAGTATGTGATTACAATTATTACGTTCGTTAAATGTCGGTTAAAATTAGTCACTATATGTGTCAAAAGGTATTGAATATTTGATCAAGAATGGGACAAAAACGTGGAGCCAACTTTTCACCGTCGGGCGTTTTCTTTCTTTTTGTTGATAAAAACCCCTTCGTAGTTATTTGCCGAAATCTAAAACAAGGTGGCGTTTTAAAGATTAATAGTTTCCCGCTTCTGACGAACCGTTGATCCGCAATAATATCGCGTTGTTTTCGGCACCAATTTGCGGCAAAACGGATCGGATGGCTAGAAAACGCGTATTATTTAATTCGTATTTTTTTTTCCTTTGTAAATTCTATCGGATACAGTAAAGTTACGAGTGTAACAATAAAAAAAATAAAACGGAGAAATGTAAACGGTTTACACGACTGTACTATAATCTAATATATAAGTACGCTATAATCAACGAATCTCAATTATTTATTTGCAATAGGCTCCTTTCTATTTCTAAACTCATAATTTTACGAGTGTTCACGGTTTTATTTTTTTCGCACTGTTAAATAACGTCCTCCGATGTTGATTAGGCATTATGTAAAAACGATAAAACGATAATATTCATCCGCTCGTTTATATTTAGATGGCGGATTTCGTCATGAATTTCGATTTTGTAATCGTAGTACACATCTTTATAACAAGACACAAATTGTATTATAGGTGTAGTACGTACATTATCGTTACAACGTGGTAAATTGCGTTAAAAACGGATTACGTGCGTATATACAATAATAATAATTCACGCGCGTTAAGTTTGCAATCGATGTGCGTTTATATTATATACGAGTATATACTGAAAATCGAGGAAAACAAACGCGCGTCACCGATTGTAGAATTTTTCGGAAAACAAATTTCGCGCGGTTAAAACTGCAGTACCGCCATTTTTAGATTCTTATTTAATTTTTTTTTTTTTTTTTTTTATCTATTTTTTTTTTTTAATATGAACACTTTTTCCACCAGAAAGATTATTCCGATTATCGAGTGTAGCGCTCGTTCTGAAAGGAAATGTTCTCTGGGTGGTACTTTATAGAGGTAATTTTTTGAGATTCTCATTAATATTCGAGACAATGAGAAAAACCTGATTTTTTAAGTCAAGAGAGATTGAAAGATTAAAAATAAGGTTGTCGTTGGCAACCGTTATTATTTATTTTTTGTCATTGTTTTAAAATATTTTTTAAACAATCATTGTTGTCATGGAAACGCACATTATTGTAATCATTTAACCATAATTACAAGAAATATTATAATATGTTGTTGACAAAGCAACATTATCAAATTAACTCCGCTCAGAATCGTTTTTATCGTTAGCAACGATAAACCGTTGCTTACAGATATACATTATATTCCCGCTTGTATCCCAGCTTTCCAACTTCTCACCTACAACAGTGGCCGCATCCACGTGCGAAGTATGTCCGTTTTTTTTTAAATTGATTTTCCCGAGTTTTTGAGCGACATGCAAACGTTGAAATTATGGTATTACAAATGGTTACAAAATATATGTATGAAATATGGTTACAAATAACAATAATTATCGATAGGAATGTTTTTCGACTTCGATATTTACATTGGCGGTCCCGGGGTAACGCACGACCTATCGTTGTTGACGTTGTCGTTGTAGATTAGATTTAAAATAACAAGTTCCCCGAACATTACCAGAAATAATAATAATGAGGTTTCGTAGACGAGATAAAATACCACGCAGTGTGGATATTTTATGATTGTTTTTTTTTTTTTTTTTTCATAGTTTAAGAAACCCTGATTTTTAACGATTGGTTTTTTTTTTTTTTTTTTTTTTTTTATCAACCGTGAATAAAGTTATAAAAAAAAATATATATATATATATATCTCGTATTACAACGAATCGAATCTCGAGATGTGTTATTTATTTTATCGATGGCTTGAAATCCATAAGAGGTTGACAAAAAAAAAAAAAAAAAAAATGGATATAAAATAAGTGATGAATACGATGAATACCGATTTGATATGCCCAGACGATAGGCATCAAATTCTCAAAAATTATTATTATTATTTATTTATTTCTTAAGGCTATCGGAGTCGCTGAATATTTAGTACGAAATCATGACTCGCGGAAAAACTCGCACGCCTCATAGAATAGTTTACAGATCACGATGGTGTTTTCTTTTCATTATTAATTGAAAGAAGAAGAATTTTTGTAGGTCACCATGACTGCGATTTCAAAAATTCAAATTCCTAGAAACCGTTTTATTCATTTATGCGTCTGAAAAATTCAAACTTGTCTTTTTTAACCTATTTTTCTAACATTACATACGATACAGATCAATCAAAAGTCGGAGTTCAATGCGATCTGTAAAAAAAATTTGCATCTTATAAACAAAAAATATATAAAAACATATTGAAATCTGACTGTTTTCCGAGGCGTGAAAGTTTATCCTGGGTAATCGTTTTCGTCCGTAGTCAGCGCAGGTCATTTTTCGATTTTCTCGTTAATTCTCCAAATAAATAGGGAAAAATGGCAATTTTTCGGTTAATTTTTATTGATCTCTTGTTGGTTACTTTGGAAACACGGGAAGAAATACGATTAATAATATTCTGTTCCGAATCGTTTTTCGTCAGCGACGGTTTATCGCTGCGCAAATGAAATTACTATATAATATTATGCAATATTCCGTCAGACTGCTTTCTTAAAAACAGTGGCACACACCCATCAGCGAAATCAACATTTTATGCATTACAATTTTTATCAATAACCGTCCGACTTATTAACGACAATGTATATATTGCTACACTGCAGTATATTATAGTATTGTATAACTATTAACTATATTATAATACTATACATGCAAGATTTACGGGGTATACGCCTTACTGTAATTTTGATAAAACGAACCGTTCTCGTAGCTATACGAAATTACACATTTTCGCCCCGATTTTTATCACCACTACGATGCCTTATCATCGTCGCCGTAGAAAAATCGCGTGACACGAAAGCGTCCGATTTTCTGCAAATGTTCGCCGATTACAGTAATAACAATAACAATAATAATACTTCGAGGGCACACGATAAACCAAACTCTAAGTATAAAAGGTAAATTATACATACACGTATATGTATACGCGCGTTATCAGCTACGGCCGATATTATGGCATTATACGATTTTTTTATAATGATATATACGCGGTTAACGATTTTCTACAACATTATTCGACAAATATTATTATTATAATTGCATACGCGTGTGCGGTCACATATAGACGGTAGTTAAATTCGGAAAAACTTCGAAGGTGGTGGGAGGAGCTAAATTTATTGAAAATTGAGGGGCGTCAATCCGAGAACTATAACTAAACATTCAGTTAACCCATCGCGGAGACAAGAATTCAAAAATGTTTTTCTCTCGCACAAGATTTGTTCGTAAACAATGTTTTTTTTATCCCACTTCCCCGTCCAAATATTATTATCCTACGCGTATGCATGTCAACTCGCAGCAAAAACAAAGTAAAAACGATACGAACATACTTCGCACGATGAGTGGGCCACTGTTGTAGATGAGAAGTTGGGTAGATAGTAGTGGAGAAATTTAATATATATCTATGTACGCAACGGTTAACCATCGGTAACGAAAAACGATTCTGAGCGAGGTTCGGTTAATAGTGTTGCTTTGTCGACAATATTCATATATATATATATTATGGTAAAATAATTACAAATTATGGATTATATATTTCGTTTAATATTGTAACAACGATTTTTCCCATTTATTACAAAAACAGCTGGGAAAATCAAAAAAAAATGTCCTCCCTATAGTACCATCACCCCGGACTCAGATTTCCTATTTCGTTAAAAACGCCTATGTAGGTGACGATAACTAAAGGGTCCCGTGCACCTCCCGGACTCTGAAGAGTAAATGGGGAACCGATAATTTTACCATTTGGATGCGATGGAGTCACTCCACGCCAGTTCAAACCGCTGTATACGTGTATATACGTGGTGCAGGTAATATTTACACGAGAAAAACCGTTTACGTTTCTCCGACGACCACGTCCGCGCGCGTTCGTTTGCACGCCGCAATATACGTGCGCAATACGAAAAACGAATAACCGAGCTAGTGTGCAATTAAAATAATTATCACGGTGATACACGACGGCGGTCGGCCCCGTGTAAAATACGCACGCGCGCCGTGTAAACGCGATTCGGTGTTATTTTTCGAATTTACGATTTAATGAAGAGATCCGGCGACGACGACGGTCAGATGTTTTTTTTTTTTGTGTTTTTTGTTTTTTTTTTTTAATAATACATTTAAATATTATATTATTATTCGATACACACACACACACACACACACACTCACCACACACACACCGTCTCACACATCCGTAATAATATACGAGTATAGTGCCTATATATATATACTTTTTTTTTAACACATATAATATACAACGCCGAACAAGTATCGATTGTCGAAATCTACGAGCCCGGTCCCGTCTACCACCGCCGCGCCGCGCGCACAGTGTTTTCCCATACGCGCGTGAAATAGCATGCGACCTCGACGAACGCGCGCGCGTTAAACAAGTTGTTTGATAAAGATCATTTTGTACACGGTTAGGTTTATTTAATTTTTCTTTCCCCTACCCCCGCCCTATCATTTACTCCGTGTCTCTCTGCGGTACCTACACACACACACACACACACACACACACACACACATACATACATACATACATACATACATACGAGGTACCTACGTCATCATATCCCATATAATATAACGGAAACGCCGGCCGACGGGTTTCTCTAAAAAAGAAATTTCACTTCGATATTTGTTGATATAATATTATTGCGGTGTACATTAAAATAATAATATCAGCTGCAGCAGCCCGCGTGGGTCAGATGAAAAACATGCATCCTATATATTATTATAAATGCGCGCCGCGTGCGGTGTCACGGCCGTCGAAAGAGAACCGCGCCACTGATAATTTATATACTTCGCATGATAAAAACCAGGATATGTATTAACAATGTTCGCATATTATTTTATTTTATGTATACGTATATACTTATTTTAGCCTAATTACAAGAACAGAAAAAACAAATTTGAACGAAAGCGCGGGTGATGTAGCAAATATTTACGACAAATAATGGAATCGTGGAATCTTTTACTTTACCCAACTCGGCCGCGGCCGTTCAAAAAACCGGATTCAGAAAAAACAATTTTCAATCAAATAAACCTTATCTGGCCTATATAGTAACTTGGCTGAAACATACAATATTACCTGAATCACTAAACAAATAACGTTGTTGTAGTAAAAACCCGACGGAGGGGCATATGACCCCTGATCTCCTCCCCTCTCGCGCACGACACTATAAATGAAAATCGCCAATTGCAGCCGTCGACACCGGCTGCAGCACCGCCCAATAATATTATATCAACCGCTCGGCCACAGTAAATCCGATAGTATAGGTACGCGTCCGGAGGATTTACGATTCTCCTCTTTGGTGGCGTGTACCATCGTGTTTTATATGAATATGAATATGTGTTCGTATGGGGACTCGGAGACGGGAATAACAAAACGGATATGTTTCTGTGTTCGCGTATATACTCGTAACAGATTGCAATCGACGGTTTGAAAATGTCAACGCCGTCGCCGGCGTGTGTGTGTGCGTGTACGTGTGTGTATTTGAAGTTGGGTACGAGTATATTATAACATTATTGAATGTGTATAGGTACGAGGTGATGTTGCGAAACGGGATCGGCGAAATGTACAAGTATAATATGCAGGGGGTACTTATACACCTCACCGACGACGACGACGACAAATGTAATAAAAGATAACAAACAGGAGGGAAACTGGAAGGGAGAGTAATTGTATTTATACCTGTATACGTAACGGTAAGCCACTCCTATTGAAGAACGACTCTGAGCAGAGTATTTCCAGTCGCATTTGTCGCATCTGTATGAACAATTGTCGTTATTGTATTATACGCTATAGTTATGCATCGTAAAAAAACGGAGGATGATAGAAGCAAGTATAGAATTGCACGAGTTAAAATATTCATTCAACATACAAAAACCACGAACTCGACACTATAGAAAAAACTTTTTCGTGATATACGCGTGTGGAGTGTCACATAATTCAGGTGTGAAACCATTGAGCACAAACAAGAAGAGAAAGCTAGACAAATGTAGTTATACCGCGTAAGACGTCTTACGCTTAATATTTGATGTGATAATGTATATATGACAAGGACTTTAAATGAAGAAGTTTTAATAAGAATTAAGGGGAAAAGACAATTTTAGCGAACTGTGAAAATATAAAAGGGGCAATACGATAGGCCACAATGTCACATACCGTGGACGTCATTGAAATCAATTATTATTAAAATTTGTACGTAAAGGATGGACGTATACCGCCGATTCTTAATAAGAGCATGAAAAGTATGAAAGTAAAAAGGTATGAACATTTCTCGATAGTTGGATTTCAAATCTGAAAGAGAAACACACAGAGATGTGCCTGGAATTAGGGCACTTTTCTCGAGACCAAAGAACAAAGACAAAGAAATGACTACGTCAACCTAAAACCTAATGTATTCCTGTTGATCCGTGTCGGATACCAAAAGGTCGGGTGTCCTAGTGCGCGTGCACCTGCACAAACATAGACGGTAGAAAAACACGACGGGTTTAGATGGAGCAGATGAGAAAAGAAGACCCGTAATGTTCTAGGCGTCGCTCGAAAAATAACATGCCGACGTTAGGTACTTCCGAGCCTCGCGTGCGACACGTGTTTACCGCCCCACAGTACTCCGTCCGTAACCACCGTTACTACGTTTATCGTGTACGCGGGAAATCGCTCCCGCGACTACCTTCATTGCGGGCCGTACAAATTACTACTATTGTTAATTATCGTTAATAACAATTACGCGGCGGCGTCGGAACCGAGCTCGTGAAAAACCGGACGTCCGATATCGGTTCGCGCGGAATGACGTGATGCGCGCGCGGTGCGACGACGACTCGTTTCATGTGCGCGGGGTCCCCGGACAATGCGTCCGCTCGCCGGCGGCATCGGCGGCGGCGACCGCCGCGTCTTCTGTGCGGCGCGCACGGACACACAATGGGAAGATAAAAAAAAATAAAAATAAAAACAAACAAATAAAAATAAATGATAATAATAATAATAATAATATAAAAAAAAAAAAGAAAAAAAACGACGGCAACAGTCGTTTGTTTATTTGTCGTTTTGCGCGCGCGCGCAACAATAATACGACGGTGACATGAGACCGCAGGAGGACGCGGAGGAGCTCGAACGGCGGGAGGGGGCGAACGCGGAGGGGCGGAATGTAGGGGGAGGGGGACGCGCGCGCGCGCGTGGCGGTTATAAGCATCAAATTAGTACGGCAAAACGGCTACCGTATAAATAATTTCCCACCGGTTCGTTGCGCGGCGGTCAGCGCCGCTATCGCGGCGGGCGGATCGCCGCGCGCGAATATATATTATATTATTGTGTCGATAACCGGGCGGCTGCGGCGGCGGCGGCCAATGTTTGTGCGGCGCGCGCGAGAGCCCGAGCGCCCGTCCGTCGACAGGTTACATGCGATCGCGACGTGTGTACGACGCGATCTTTGACGCGGCGTTTTAAACGCCGTCCGCCGCGCCCGGGTCCCGCGGGGCGGACGGACGCGGGACGGCCGGCCGCGCGATTGTCGGCGGCCGCCACACACGCAACGTCGAGTGTGTTGTTGTGTACGTGTGCGTGCATAAATAGCCGTACGCCCGGCCGGATCGCGAAAAACACATACGGCCGCGCGCGCCCGTCCGCCCCGCGCGCCGGCGACCGATCCGTCCGGCCGATTGTCCGATCAAAGCGCCCACCGTCGCCGTCGCCGTCGCGGCCGCCCGCGCGTCAACCGTCGCGTCCCCGCGCGTTTATTGTGTTTTATACGACCGCGTCGGGTGTCCCCGTGCCCAGGTGTACCCGCCGCCCGGGCGGCGCAGGCACGCCGCGCTACGTCTATCGTACACAATGTCACCGCGGCGGCGAGCCGCCCGTAGGTACGCGCGGCGGAACGATCGCCGCCGCGACGACGGGTCACTGCTACACACGCGTGCGGGCGTGTTATTATTGCCGCGGCACTTGAAATCGACGGGGAGAGGGGTGGGGAGGAAAGGAGGTCGAAAAACTTCCGTACGAGCCATTTGTAAAAGCTAATTGTGCCGTTCGATAGTGGCGCCGAAAACGAGCATTCAACCAAGCGTTTGAAAAAAGCGTCGAAAATAACGAAAGTAGTAAAATATTTTTTTTTTTTTTTTGAAATCGTGATTTTAATTATTAAAATTTCGTATTTTAAAGCGTTGCGGCGTTTCCGGCTGTATAGAATAGAAATATATTGTTGCACAGTAAACATTCTAACCTACAGTAGGTTTAAATGAGTCTCCCGTGACAGGGTGAAACTTTTTCCTGGTATGTATTCCTAAAGAGTTTATGTTCCTAAACGCCATTTCATTTATGGATATTCGGAATTTTCGAGTCTTTTAGGTCGAGTGAAAACGCTCGAAAATTTAACGCGAGGTCTAACGTGAGTTGCGATTGGCGGTGAAAAATAATAAATGGTTGCGCTCAAAGTTCAAATATTAACGAAAATGCGTTTTAATAAAAATGTAAAAATATGTATCACGTTCCACTTAAAATAAGTATTAGAGGTACGAAGTCGGGAGACTTACCCCTCCAACCCGTAATCCGAGCGTCGAAACCTACCTTCACCTTTCCTGTAAAAAAATAATTGGATCCGCTACAGTTTTCGTGACACTGGCGGTGTTGCACGCCACTGTGGCTTCAATAATCCCCTCATCATTTTTCTGGCAACTGGGTACGTAAAAATATTCTAAGACTACACAGCTGTCTCCTACGAGTGAGCCCGTGTCAGTATCGAACGATAAAAAGTGTAAAAAATAAATACGCGTTTCACAGCGACTTCTCATTTTCATCACCGTGCTTGTTTGTTTTTTTTTTTTTTTTTTTTTTTTTTTTGTTACCCACGAAAACCAAATTAACTGATAAAACTGGTTTTTGTTTTTCATCCGTACAGCCATGATGGTAACCCATAAATCGATAAAAAATCAAAAAAAAAAAAAAAAAATCAATTTTCGTTTCGAAAATACCAAAAATCTTCGGAGGAGGGAAAGGCAGAATTTTGAAAATCCTTTCTTAGCGGTTGTGTACATTGTATTACAATAAGAAACATCTGTGTAAAATTTCAATTCCTCGTACCGGTTTGGTCTGTTCGCCGATAGTCTAGACTCCGATTTCTTCTTTTACGTACACATAGATAATTGTTAAACCACATTTTTTTTTTTATCGATTTCTTCTGTTAATGTCATTATATTTATCACTGATTATTGTCGTATATCAGATTTGACACATTATTTTGTTCGTTTAATAATAATAATAATTCTAGATTTGCGTTCAAAAAATTTCGAGTTTGTTTAGGCTGTCGAAATCTTGCAAAATTAATTTTTTACCGTGTTTTCAGAAAAAATCTAATCCATTCCATTTACTCCGGTGCAGATAACGTGTCCGAAACTTTGTGTCCGTTTATGTAGTTTTACTATCGGTGTGACGACTGCCACATATTATTTTTAACGGTGTTACACACGCCCGGTCGATATTTAAATGTTATGATAATAATATTATGAAATATTCGCGCCCGATCTGTTCAGTAGGGCACGAGATATTATAAATACACTATCACGTAACACACGCGCGCACACACACACAATTTTACAACAATATCTATTGTAACATAATAAGACGTGCGAGTGTGTACGCGTGTTTTTCTCTAAAAACACGCGCAAAAACCGTAAACACGGTTCCGCCGTGCAGCAAAAATTAATTTCAGTAATAATCAAAAAAAAAAAAAAACCGAAAAACATCAACGGTGGGTTTCCGATAGTTTTTCTGATCTAGAAATTCCTAACGCTTTCGTTTTTAAGAAAAAATCATAAGAAGAAAATTGGCGACCATACATGACGATATACCTATACGCGCGGGTTTCGGATTAAGCGAACAGATGCTGGAACTGCTGGGAGATGCCGTGGACGACACCTCGAAGCCAGATAATTTGAATGAATAATAATTATATTATTATATCGACTCGGTAATACACGCTTAAAATTAGCGTTTTTTTTTTTTTTTATTCGATTTCCGGGTTCCGTTGATTTACAGCGCTAGAACATGAACAAAAATAAATAAAAATAGCCTCTTAAAATTAAAATCGATCGACAACAACAATACTACTACGAAAACAAAAACTAGTCGTTTCTTAAAACGGCTTTACAATTTATTATATTAATAAAAGAACGCGTCTGTATTATTATCGTTTCCTGTTTGTGTCCGTGCGCGATCCACAGCCGAGTCTATCGCACGTAGAGATTGTGGAACATTTGCATATCATTGAGATATTCAGGACGTAGTTACGCGCGGTTCACCTCGGAGTCGGATTTCCGAAATGAAACCCCTAAAATGCGACTAATTTTTGGTACGTATATTTAATTTTAGTTTTGTTGATTTGTTGATCATCTTGGCGACATGGATGACATGAAAAAAAAACTCCGTACATAGTTAGAAATCTGTAGATGGTTTAGCGTTTTACTGGGCTTGTCAAACAGCTAAATAGTAAATTATGTGCTTTGGAATGTTAAAATAACAACACCAGTGCTCCGTTAATAGATGCGAATTCCTCACCCTTTTTTTTTTTTGTGTAACAGAAATATCATTTGCATAACAATAGATAACCCAATGCTATACAATTATTACATCTATCGCTTTCGAAAAAAAAAATATATATATATAAAAAAATTGGCGTAACCGAATCGTAAAAATGGTTGGAGGTGTGGTTGACAGTTGAAACCCCCAAAATCCATATTCTTGATATTAACGTCAAGTATACACAAAATTTCACTCCTCTCTCTCTGACCTCATTTAGGGATTTTGTAGGAGAGTACCAAGCCAAAAGTACAAGCTACAGCGTGATTAAATCCATACAATTAAAATAAATTCGTTAAATTAAATCAAATTTTGATCACTTCAATCCGCTTGCAGAACAATTTTAATTTCCGAGTTTCAGCTCATTAAGTTCAGAGAGAGCCGCTAGAAATTTTCAAAAAGTATTGAGATAAATATGTACACTGCAATAGTTTCTATTTTGGGGGAATATTCGACAGAAACGGTTATTGAATCGGTTAATTTTCACCGACAAAGATGTACAAATGCGGTTATCTGTGATTGTGAGTGGAAATGAGAAGTTACGAAAAAATACAGGGACACACATTTTTATTCAATTCTCCCTCCCCCCGTTTTGCCCCAACGGGCAAAACCGCTCGATAAGACTGCCAATACATAGCGCACTCAATAACCACTGCTATCCACTTTTGATTTTCAAATAGCAGTCCATATTAAAAATTCGCTAAACAGACGAAATCTGAGTTTAAATATACATTTCGGTGTTGAAATATCCGATTCCCGTCAGTCAATTCCCCGATTCGTGTGGCGGTCTGGCGCACGGCATTCGAGCAGTGCCGCGAATAGTGGAAATCTCGAAACCGTAAACAGCAAAACGTGTCTGAAACTAAAACGTTATCTCCGTCTTTTTATCGAATCGTTTCGACGTAGACTATTGATTTTAAAGCCAATAGTCCGATAGCGGTTTCGCGCTCGAAAGGGCGACAAAAAAAAAAAAAAAAATGAAAACATTTTAGCGCCGCTCGTTGCCGAAATTTTCCGAAAATAAAATCCCGACAAAAGGCCAATAATGTACTTTTCCGATACGCAGATAACGAGCATCGATACGGATTTATCGCCGTGCACGCATAACGCACGTCTATAATATAACGATATAACAACGCCCGCGTTATTTATATATAACAAAAAAAAATATCCTGTACCTGTGCATGTATCGTTATATTATAAAAAATTCGTTTCCTCCGCGGGTACACACACGTATCACGCGCCGTAAAATAGGTAATCCATTAATTCCGTGTCAACTCCCCGACGCGTATTTTTTTTTTATTTATTTTTATACATTATACCAATACACACATACACGCTACGTACGCATACGTTCGAGCGTACCTGCACACATATACGCGTATATGGAAAAGATCCCGATGCGGTATAAAATATTATTGTGATACACCTCGTTTTAATAATATAGTATCGCGTTTCTCGGTCGCAAAATGTACATGTGCAGCAGTGTGATCTATAGATAAACATATAATTTCACACAGGTGTATGTGTACGCGTGTGTACATGCGCTATTATAATGCGAACGTATAAATTTGCGTGGGCACACACAATTCACACGCAAGTTTCCATACAGCCGCGGTTAGATAATAATATCGTTTACACTGCGAGGCGCGAATTATATACTCCCCCCCCCCCAGTGACAACGTCCGCGGCGGTGTCTCCATTTAACAGCGGTTCCCAAAATTTGATTTTTTTTTTTTATTATTATTATTATTATTCGCACCTGGAACTTCTAAGGGAAACGGGCCGATATTCCCGCGCGATCTCCAATAACTCCATTTCCGTTCGGATCAGTTCAAAACCATTGCTGTTTTCGCCGCACCGTACATATTGTATACGAATCGTCGCGTTGTCGGGAAGTATCACGTGCGCGAATTCCTTTTTCCGCGTCCGAGTCCCGACGGATATTTGTCTGAAAATCCCGCTGCGCACATGTACGCAGCAATCGTCAACAACGGTATCAAATATAGATGCGTGAAGCTTTGTGTTGTCGGTATCGGATCCCGAAACGCTACAAAAGTCTTGACGGTCTAAAGCGGCGGTCGGCAATTAGTGTCTAAGAGGGGCCGGATAATTTAAAAGAAAAAAAAAAAAAATGTTCAAAAAGTTCAACCTCTATCGATTTGGTGTTCCGTACGATTTCACACGTCCAGAAAAAAACACGAATTTACAAGTCGATAAATTTAATTATTTTCGCATTAAAATCACAATTATTATACAAGTGTTAAAAAATATACAATACAATTGTACAACTACATGTACGTATACCAAATGCACCATAAACACAGATGACGTTCGGACGCTTGGATATTTCGGATGTACACAGAGACGATTAATAATGAAAACGAAAAACCAGCGTCAAAGCCAAACGAATTTGGACAGTAAGTTATTGTTTCCTCTCCGCGGGCCGCCAATTGCTTACCCCCGGTCTAAAGGTAAACGCGTACTACGCCTCCCCTGTTTAGCGCTCGAGCCTCACAGTTTGGGAACCGCTGCTCTGGAGTATAACGCCGTTTCCGTACATACCGTCGTCTTTGTGGCATAACCTCGTTAGTATAGGATTTTATACGATTTTACCGGCGAAGCGAACGCCAACTGTTGTGGCCGAACCGCGTGCATTGCCTTTAGGTACACGGTCTTTCAAATATCGCGCGGGCATTTTTAAGTTATTCGAAATTTTCAATATATTTGCAGATAAACACTCGAAAATTTTACGCGAGCATCCCTGTAAGAAGTCACTCGTACACGAGAGTCTCGTAACGGTGAAATAAAAACATCGAAAATCTATGGTCGGGTTTTTTTTTAAGCTTTATAAAGTTTCGATGTATGAGATCAAATTTGTAAAAATCATCACGTTTTCCGTTTATGCGATTACAAATCTCGTATAACTTCAAAAAACACTCTTGGTCATTTGGAACATCATAATTTTTGTATTTGAAAATATTAACTTTCCGCATCACTTTTTACTATTTAAATATATTATCATTTATCATCTTGTTGGTATTATTAAAAAAAAAAAAAACATATTTTTAAAACAGACATTTTTAGCTGTTGAATTTTAGATTTCCGGATTGCACATACACGAGGTTTCAAATATCTCGTGAGTATACCGCGAAACCGACTCTCGAAGTTTATATTGTATTTCTGATAGTTAGTTTCTTATATCTACACATTATCATATTATCATATTGTGCAAATACGGCGAAAATGACGTAATCTGACTGTGTAGAATAATCACATAAAAAAAAAAATCAATTTAATGAATTACGAGGTTTTGCCATAGAGCCAACGATATATTGAACCATATACCGTTAATAAATAAGCCAGTGTCATTAAATTTTCTCCACGATTAAATTCTGAGTGTTTTGGCGAAGAAGCTATAAAATAATATTATAGTTTTGCTAAGATGCGTTTATATTGTTGCTCGGCAAAAAAAAACTTTCCTATTAGTAAAAATTCAACGATTTTTTTCACGATCACCAATTTCAGAAAATGTAGATTTTTTGACAGGCAGTATTTAACGAGTTTTTCTAGAAAAATGTCAAAACTGACAAAAAATAGTATACGATACGTCAGTTTTATTTTTGACGATTTCCGGGTCACCTTACAAGTTTAGAGCTTAGTAACAATCAGAATCATTTTCAATTGCGATAAATTATCGTAAGTTAAATGTTCCGTTAAAAAGTAATGTCATCCGAGACACCCCACCACCGAAAGAAATCGACATTGTCGTACATTTCCGATGATTAAAGTGGTGGTGGGGGTGAGGGTAGATCAGTTCCCATTATTATGTAAAGTGCAACGGTCACTGCTGTTTAGTTTGAGTCTCGGTCGCGCGAGAAAAACATTTCGAAAATCTCATGTCCCGAAACGGCTCTCTTACCTCGAACCTGAAAATTATCGTACGACGCAACGTTCTCCCGTTTAAAACCGAAATGCGTGAGCCCGGAACGGAAACCGTTTTAAACAATAACGAGAGGGGGGGGGAGGAAATTCGCGATTTCCGATCGGCCGCGGTTCGTAATAATATTGCGCGCACAGTCGCGGGCACCCGGACCATAGTAAAATTTCGCACGTACGACCCGCGGAGAATCGCGCGTCCGCCGTGTGTGGACGCGTCTACGCGTGTATCGCGCGCGGATCCCACCGCAGCGCGCATAATACGTGCGCAAAGATATTAAAACGCGATAGTTATTATTAGGTATCGCGATGTACGGTGTGTGTATATATGTGTGTATGTGTGTGTATGTGTGTGTGTGTGCGATTACGCGTTTCAATACGAATGTCGGCCCGCAACAGAACCGCACAGTTATTACGTTTGGCGTTCCATATCGTAACGTCCGCGATGATCGTCACGAACTGAGTGCTGGCTCATAATAATATAATAATAATAATAATAATACTTAAAACATTATTATTATTATTATTATTGATCGTATGCGTGTATAATCGTATCGACGTCGAAAATCGTCTTAATTATCCGCCGATAGTGATAGTGATCGTCGGGACGATGTTCGCCGCCGCGTCCCGGCGCACATTATAATACACCGAGATTTCACGAAATCGTTATTATACACCGCGCGGCGCAACATGATGTTCCGCTATATACGGTTAAAAAAAAAAAAACAAAAAAAAATAATAATAATAATAAAAAAATATATGTATACACACACATGTCAATAAACGTCAATCGGTTAGGCGCATCTCTGCAGCAGCGGTATAACGAGTCGGGGGCACTTATTATGGCGTACAGAAACGATTTTGACGATCGTCATCGCGTGAACATGTAAAGTAATAATTGTATTATTGTGTCATTCGCGGCTGTTGCCGATGGTTAATTAACCGATAAGGCCGTAGATACGGCGGTCATAACGTTTAGGAAATTTAAAAAAAAAATAAACGACAAACTGGATAGTCGACGACGCATTGTCGTAATGTCCTTGATGGTGTTACGACAGACGGCGGCGCAGGGGCGCCAGGTTTTGAAAATGTCACCCGGGGAGGGAGAGGGGGGAGGTTGAGGGTGGTTCACTGTTTCACAAACACGTGCGCAGTTTTACCCGAGTATCAACTGGTATTCCCCATTTTTTATTATTTCCCGAAAAAACTGTCCGTTAAACAATAATTACCTGTACCCCGTGTGGCCGCGAGAGATCGGTACCCTCGGAGCGCATGGAGAATGAACGGTACAGTGACGGGTGTTCGCAGCTCCATTTCACGCTGTCGGTGGCCCGGTGAGCGGGAGATGCGCGGACGGGTTTTGGTCGCATAGCGGTGCTGACCCGCAGTGGGCCGGAGCATGGGAAAATGTCAGTTGAATCGAAAGTCCGTTACATCGAGGTGTAAAAGAAAATTCAAAACTTAAATCGGCACACTGCAAATACACACGTTCATTATACGCCGGCAGACGTGTAACGTATAATACAAGACTCAGTATGTCCACACGAGCGTAATACGTATTAACAGAATGAGGGACGTACTTCGCACGTGGATGCAGCGCCACTGTGGTGTGAAATCGGTGACGAATCGCTAGTGGAAAAGTTGTTCACGGAGGGAATAAAAAAAGGCCGTAAATTTTAATTAATACGTACCTACATTTCGTACGTTTCCCCCGTTTTTGTTTTTCGGTTTTTCACATTTGATGAGAAAACTTCTGACAAAATCGAAAAATGGCCTTTCTAAAGTACCCCTCGAATCCGATTTCCCTTCAGAACACCCAAAACGGTCTCTAATAAGTTTTCCGAAGAAAAAAAATAAATACCTTTGTAAAAGCATAAGTTTTTTCGCTCTACTCAGAATCTAAAATTAAAAATGTGTAATATCAAGCTCTGAAATTGTAAAAATTCGTTACATCGCCAAAGCTTTGGTCAAAATAACTAAGTTTTATCAAGAGGACAAAAATACATTTAGATTTCCGTTATTTATACCTCGAGATTTTCAAGGAAGCGAAAGTTTCATTTGTTATATCGCGAATCGACTGTATTTGTTGTTTTATATATTATAATATTTTAATAGAATTAACATCGTTAAAAATCACAAGACAATCTGTATACTTTTTCACTGCTATCAATATATATATATATATATAAAAACAAAAAAAGGTTTATCTTTCTCAATTAATTTATTATAAATAAAATTAGTATTTTGAGGATGTACGCATGAGAAATATTGATTTTTTTTTTTTTTAAATATGAGAACCGTTGGGGACTGAACTCCGTCTAATCAAGATCATGAGAGCTACAGCCTCAGAGCCCTCCTGTGCATAGCGCTCTTGCAGTAGCGTGCCAAAGAGGTAATCGAGAGGCGGCCGTCTTTGATTTTTTTTCAAAGGGTCTACTTATGAGACAATTTTTGAGAAAGCGATAAAAAAATTCGGCGATAAAGCTACGTGTACAATATCTAACGGCTGGCCGACGGATGGATTCGTCGGTAGGTATAAATGGGTATTGGAATAAAATTCTTGAATCTAAAAATGTTCGCCACACCACTGATGGTAGGTCCCGATTGTTCCGCAGTCGCTATAATGCGCACTAATAATATTTAATACGCACAGTAAAATAAAACGTTAGCTATTGCACATTGGTGGGCGGATATTAAATTTGTCGCAAATATCTGAATTAAACTGATAAAAATAAAAAAAAAACTAATAATAAAATTATGCATTTATAATACGCATCGTTACAATATAGATTTATAATTTGACATTTTATTCGTGTCGAAAGTATATTAATCCGTTGACGAGTACGTCTCAATAATTGCAGCAGAGTTAAAGATTAATTTGATTCTGCAAATTGAATAAACCTTTCAAAACGAATTAGGATAATGGGTATTTCGTTGAAGACTGCGCGCATACACCCGGAAATACAATCCTGACCACCGCCCTGGAAAATGTTTCGTGTCATACCATATTACGGGAAAATAATTATTTCTGTCGATAAAATTAGGACGCCACTGCACACTTTTCGGTCAAAATCCCCCCGAAATTATTTTCCAGTTGTGTGGGCTTTGTGGGCCTGTGACAATATTATATTATCGATGACGTGTACTGTTCGGACGACGACGTATAATAATAAAACCTATCGCGGAAAATCTAATCACAGTCGAGGGTTTCAAAGATTCAGAGTGGAACGAGAAATGTATTAAGAAAAACTGCCCGGAGAGGTACTTTAGGGAGGTTATTTTTTGATTTCCCAAGAGTTTTCTCAATATATTGAAAACACCGGAAAAATCAGAGATAAAACGGGAAAATGTATAAAATATTGGTATTAGTTAAAAAATCATACGGCCTTATTTTTTTCCTGTGAATAACTTTTCTACTAGCAATTTTGCTCAGATTTATAATGATAGCACTTTTTTCGAAAGGAAATTTGACTGAGATGGCACTTTAAGGAAGTCTTTTTTTGATTTTCCCAAGAGTTTTCCCACTAAATGGGAAGAACCGGTATTACGGTACAATATTAAACAAATATTATTAAAGAAAATGTTTAATGCACAATAGATAATTATATTAGGTGCCATAATATGACATATATATTGTTGAAAAAGCAACACTATCGTTGTTTACATACGTATATTAAACTCCCGTCTATATCTTTCTTTCCAAACTTCCCGCCCACAACAGTGGCTGCGCACCCGCCCCCGTTCTAGCATCCTAGCACAGATTTTTTTTTTTTTGCATCGCTTTATGAGAGCTCTATTAGATATAGTTTAAACGTGTTTATTAACGTGTCTGTTTATAATAACATGTTATCTCGACGCGTGAAAAATATAAAAAAAAAGAAAAAAAGAGCGATGAGGTACGTCTCGCGGTATCTGAAATTCGTACGGCACGGCGGTTTTTTGCTGCTGTTTAACAATCCCGCCGCCGGAAACGGAGAAAGAAAATTCTGCGACGGTGATCCGTTACACTTTTTCTACGCGCATCTATTTAAAGAAAAAAATAAAACCTAACCCATTTCGCCGGACACCCTGGAAACGCGAAACGTTTACGAAAGAGCAGGTTTATTTTTCCTTTTTTTTTTTTTTTTTTGCGAGGTGTTGTTTGTTTTACAAAGGGTGTGCGCGATATAGATTCGCGAGTATATCATACTGCCGTGTATATAATAATGTATAACGCGTACGGCGGGTACTCGTAATAATATTCGCGTCGCGCGTTATTTAAAGGACAAACAATCGGGCGAAAGGCTATATTATTATTATTATGATAGCCTTTGCCGCGGCCGCTGATTGATGGATTTTCGCGCCGCGGGTCTCTCACTCCGTCTCTCTCTCTCTCTCTCTCTCTCTCTCTCTCTCTCTCCAGGGTCGGAAGACATTAGCCGTGAACCGTGTACGCGCGGACTCGTCGTGATGGTGCGCGATGATCATCAGTCACCATTTACTTCGCGGAGTGGCGGGGTACCGCGTTCGGTGCAGGGGAGGCGGCCGACACGGTATATATACGACTGCGCCTTTTCCAACCCTTTTCCGGTACGGTATCCGATACACAGCACGTATATACGTATAAAGGGGCGGGGTTGGGGAGGGAGGTGGGTTTCGCACAGGAAATGAAAACCGGCCCGTTTACGACGCGCGCGCGCGCGCGGTGTACACGAGACGCGTATAGATATGTACACGCGTATAGATCGCTGAATCTTCGGCGCCGCGCAATGAACTAATTTAAAACCCTCGTCACCGTGATGTGTCCGAGAGATCCTACCCCGCGATGATCAGTCAAGCGAATATTTTCTGACTCGTCGTTCATCATCGGGGACCGCGCGGCGCGTGTATAATAATAATATTATATACACGGCGAAACGTATATACGTGTATAATGTGTAGGTATATATACGTATATATATATATATACATACATACATACATATAGGCAGGTACCCGCGGACTTTAACCATATAACCCGCGGCCGACCCCACCTTCCACCCTTACCCGCCGCCCGACGCTTCCTGCCCGCCGACCGTCTCGTTTTTCCGCCGGGAGCGAAAGGATTCCTCGCCGCCGCCGACGACGACGACGTGCAGGTTTCATCGCTCCCGCCGCGGCCGGCGATCCCGTCGGATTTCGCTGCCTCCCCTGCAGCCGCCCCGCCAGCGCGTGTCGTCAGCGAGTGTTGTGTTCGAAAACGGAGATAGGACGTGTTGTTATTATTATTATTATAAGCTGCAGTACGTTAAAATATCGCCGAAAAAAAAAAAATACCCCCGATATTTCATGTATAATATACTCGAGCTGTGTACAGTGTACAGCTAATACAATGGGATTATTGAAACAGAAAGGAAACGTACACAGTTATGGACGGAGGGGGGAACAAAAAACGTATACGTTTTCATTATATACGTATATATATTTTTTTCATTATTATTATTCCGTACGTCGGTGACGATTACAATATATCATCGCGCAAAATACGTAATAATAATAATAATGATCATATTTATATAAACGCGCAACAAATCATTGACGGAATATCCTACTCGAAACGGGATTAGATTTACGTTTTCATACATCATACCCGAGTCCCGTCCCCCTGGAAATCGTCTGAAATGGCAAATATATCACGATGAAATCTCGCGTATACCTGCTACACTCGTTTCACGTAAAACGCCGTTATAACGTTAGGGGAGGCGGGGAGGAGAAATGAATCAACGCATTTTAGCATTACGGCGGTCCGTGAATTTCGTATGATATTTCCGCGTTTTTTTTCATTTTATACTAACGTTTCTGCGCGTAATTTTCACCGATCGCAGAGTCCGCATGGTATAACTATGGTTAATTGTACATTTTAAATGCAACAAAATACAAAAACCACAGCCGATTATAATTTCCAACATTATAACAACATGGGAATCGTTTATACGTCTTAAAGCTTATAATGGCTTGAACTTTAAATGAATGTACAAACTATTTTAATTTTCGAACGGTAACCCCCCATTTTTCCGACACGGATTGGAAAAAATTAATAATTGTACGAAAATTTTGAAATTTCGATTACGGGGGTAAAATATCTAACTGAATTGGGATTGTGCTACTTAGGAACTAATTAAACGGCAATCATATATTATTATAGCGAACGGGTAGGTTTCGTTTTAAACAAGACAAACGTATACGTTCAAGTTTTATTTGTGTACATTTTAACCATCGGTACCCGCGCGTTTTTAATTTTCCTAACGAAAAAGTAAAGATATTTGAATTTAAAAAAAAATAACAACAGTTGTTCATATGAATTATAGATTCTGAAAAAAAAATCGAGTGAGAAAGATTTAGCTCCCTTTAATCCTCTTTCTTAAATACGTCACTGAGCTCAGAAAACTATAACAGCTTGAAAAAAATTCCATTTTCAACAAATTTTGATTCGTGATTGTTCGAGTGTTTACGATTTGTATTATGCATCCATGATAAATAAAATATATCGTTTTGTTATAATTTATTTGTACACATATGCGATACGTTGAACAAACTCGTGATTATAAACGAACCCCTATCACGAGACGCGCGCAAAGATTATTCAAATAATAGGTACGTACGGAGAACGAATAATATAATTTGTAGTCGTTATTGGCATGTCCAGCGCTACGTATAAATAAATACTATGACCGCAGGAATTATCTGATCTTTTTATGCCATTTTAGGACAAGGTTTTTTTGCGTCTCCGCGAGAGAAGGCTCTACCAATACGGGCTCTTATAGAATATACATACCAATCGCGATTGTATTTTGTAAACCTGAACTTTCACCGTTCGTACTATAACACATGATATATCGGTGGTATACGACTGTTAATATCGTCGTTTAAGATTTAACGCCCGACATTTCAGTAAAACCATAAAACTGGTTTATTCGCAGCTGATTTCTTAATTCATATATTTACTAAAAACCATGCGACAATTGCACGAAATATTCACGAAAAACTACTACCGAAACTCATTATAATGTTACCGTACGGCGTTGTTGTAGAGCCGAAAACACCGTAGTTTTACAAAACATTCCAGATAGCAGCGGTTATCATCGTTTTTACATTGTACGCCACCTGTTTTCTTGGCGATTACGATTAGTTTACGAAACGAATCCCCTCGAAATTTCAACTAAGAATGTGCCGCCGAATGAATTTGGCTAAAGTGTGATAATATATCGTGGGTTGCACCTTAAACAACGACAAAATATATTTTATAAGTACATAATTGTCTAGAACTATAGCACTGACTGTATCAATAATACAATGTTGATTGCGTACAAATGTATAAAACTCACGAGTATAGGCTACTTTATGAACTTGTCCGTGTCTGTCTGCCTGTATGTGCACTCTATCTCTCATACGGTTGTGCATTTTGAAATGCGGTTTTTACTAAACGATTAATAGGCTCCAAAAAAAAAAAGATCCCCGTTGAGTTTTAGTCCATTTGGTGAAAGAAAAAAATGTATATTTTAAATTTAAATAAGACACTGGACTTACATCATACTCGTGTATACATTCTTAATTGTTTATATTCAAATTTAAAATCAGTTTACAAACTGAGCATTTCATTTTAAATACGTTTTCGTTAAAACCTTCTTTAATCCCGGCGGCACGAGGGTAGTTCTACGAGTCTGAAGACTATTGTAGTTTTTTTTTTTTTCTAACTAGGTGGGTGTTTGGCTTGGTCAGCTAGGTCACCGTTAGATAACCGAATAGGAAGTAGGTGTCTGAAATCGAATATTCAGTTGTGTATATGTGCGTGAGGAATATATAAAATGGCGTGGCGCGAGGTCTTTTGTCCATAAATGGATGTGTGGGTCAAACCATTTCGTCGGGCTTACTTAAGATGTAAATTCGAGCCGCCACTGAAGTATACGTTGTATAGATTTCATCTCGTGAATTAGGTATTCATGCCATAAACATTATACCGTCTAATTTCAATATATTATTCATATTTAATACCGTCGGCTCGTTCGATATTCGATATTCTGATTACGTATATTTGGTACTCGAAAACCCCATAAATATACAATATAATCAACGGATTTGAGAAAATTTTCTGAATGTTAAATACAACCGCAGAAGGTTACAATCTGTGTAATTTTGTCAACTACAAATACATTGTATATTTCACGCCTGCAGATAGTTGAGTTTCTAGCAAGATATATTCTAATTCTATACAAGCTGTTTGGAAATAAGATAAGAAATTAAACACAATTTAAAACGAAAACAAGTGCACACTGAAAGTTATCATCATAGAGTCTATGGATACTTAATAATTTTAATCGTTTTAACTATACAACAATAATGAGGGAATAATAGTGTTTTATCATTCTTTTTTTTTTTAACGGGTCGGAGGATCGCGACTGATTCTTAAAAAAAAAATAAAGAAAAAAAACAATAGGTACTCAACAAAATGTATAAGTAGGTGTGTGTAACACTTTAGTGTGTTTGTGTACTATATTCGTTTCGGATAAAACAAAATACAAATATCAGTTCTTACAGTGGCGTACCTGGAATTTGTCGGCAGGGGAAAGTGGGGGGGGGGGTACGTTCATACAATAACACTGTGCTCGGAATCGATTTTTGTTAGCAAAAATTACTATTATGAGTCTTTGGATTTATAGTGCGAATGTACAAAGATATTATTTTTTGCGTATATATAATAGATTTAAACGCTGGGTACATTATAGGACAGTTTATATTATTTGTTATTATATATTAACAAGACCGATGGTAAGGGGGGTGGGGCGTTGAAGACTCGTGGCCTTCCGAGTACACCAATAGGCTCTTATATGTACGAGTGAAAAAAAAAAAAAAACGATTCCGAACGGAAGTCTAAATTTTATTTCATTTCCATCCGTACGGTAGAATTTCGAACTTGTTTTAGAGGGGGTTTTGTTTTTTTTTTTCTAACTTTCCTTCTGTTGAGTCGCCCGCAATAATAATACGAAACAGATCGACAGCAATAACAGAATCGGACGGCCGACGAAACGAAATTAATTCCGACCCGCTTCCGCGCATTCACTGCCGCCGAGCTACCGCCCATCGTTCGTCTTCACCGTTCGGCGTCCTCGCACTGTCGTCCCGTCCAACCGGCACCGGCCACGTCGTAAAGTGTCGTAAAAGACGACGACGCATACCGCGCTGCGGTACTTCCTTCCGTTACGAATCGCGTTCGGTGTATTATTTTAACACCGTAACAATACGCGTCATCGCCGCCGCGAGCCTCTTTATTAGACCGCCTCCGCCCGCCGCCGCGCGAGTCGTGTTCACGCTCTCCGTTCTGTGTAATAATAACAACAATAATAATAACACATTTCCCCGCCCTCTCGCCGCCGCCACCCGACCACCCACCCACCCACCCCTCCCCCCTCTCACTTCATCCTGGCCAGAACCGGCGCGCCATCACAACCCGATGACCGTGTCCGACGGCCGGCGGCGGTGGTCGGGAAAAGCGATAATTCGATATTTGTTATTAAGTCGTTCGGGGTATCGGCCGTCGTCGCCGCGTCTCTCTCTCTCATTCGCTCACTCTCTCTCCCACTCGCTCTCTCTCTCTCTCTCTATCTAAATATATTTATGTATATATTATTATTATTACGTTAAATTATAATAGCTCACCGTCGTCTCTCGCACACCCGGTCACCCCGCCCACAATTCGCGTCTTCACAACTCGCGCGCGCGCGCGCGCGTATGTGTGTCTTATTTGTATACGCGCGCAACGGCGTTAGCGACGATTGCGACGGCGACGCGTGTACACGGCCGAGGGACACCGCGCGCAGAGCGCCGCGGCGGCGACGGAGGGAGGGGGGCGAGAAAACCGACTCGGGCCGAGAAAGACAAATACAACGGTCGGCTCGCGCGGACTACTCGTCGTCGTCTTGTACGCGATACGACGACGAATACCGGTGCGGCGGGACGCGCGCGGTTTTCGCCCTCACGCGCGCCGCCGTCCCGGTCACCGCCGCCGCGGTTATCGTCGTTCTCATCGTGTCCGGTGTATACACACGTATATACCACACACACACACACACACACACACACACATACACCTCGCCGCCTGTCCGCCTGTCCGTCGCGCGTGTACCCAATAAACAATCCTCCGGCGCGCACACCCCGACGGCCGCGCTGAAAAAAGCGGACGGACCGCAATAATAACAATAACAATAATGATGATAACGATAAGGTAATACCGCGTGGACAGACGAAACGGGGAAACGCGCGTCGGCATCGGCCGCCGACGGCGGCCGGCCTCAGTACATATAAATATTATTATCACTTCGTGTGACATACGGAGGCGATGACGAAATAATAATAATAATAATTGTCCGTTGTTGTTGTTGTTGTTGTTGTTGTTATTGTTGTTGTTGTGCATCCCGCGACCGTAAAAATAATATTATCGAAGACCGCGGGTTTTATTTCGTACGCCGTGGCCGTCGCCGTCGCATTTGTCGTCAACGGCCGAGGCGTGTCGCGTGACATTTGGCGGCGCCGACGAAATCCGTTCCTTTGTTAATTCGTCGCCTGTGGTGACATCTGTGGCGGCGGCGGCGGCAGCAGCACCGCCATAACAACCGTCGCATCAAACTAAACGATAATGCAGCGGCGTATCTGGGGGGGGGCAGAGAGGACCGCCACCCCCCCCCTCCCCCCATAATTATTTATTATTATTTTTAACGTCTAAACAGGCAATTTATACAATGTTGGTAAACGACGGAATGGAAAATTTATACAAATAAAAAATATATCGTCTCGTCTCACGCTGATTGTATGCAAATCGGTCGCGACATTTTTGATATACGCCGTGACAACGTTCACGACCCATTCCGTTCTCCGAAACTGATATTTCCCCATTTTAAATAATAATAAACCGAGTATTCGCAAGATTCCAGGGGTTATAATATTATATTGCTAACCGCTAAATGTAATATCGTGTAGAAAGGTGTAGATAACAATATTTATAAGCCAATATTTTCGTTACAGTGAGTTATTTCACCCACTCCTCTTCCCTCTGCTACTCTAAATATGAATAAATAATAACAATTATCATACGTTTAAAACGATAAAACAATCAAATTATGATCTTTTTTTGTTTTGCATCCCTCCGAAAAATTGTCTCGACCTCCGAGGTAAATAATCTTATTTAAACGTGTTTATTGCATATACGAGTATTTGTAACATATTATCTTGAGGCGTAAAAAAATAGAAAAAGAAAAACAAATCGACGAGACATATAGATCGAAAAATTGGATGACAGATATCCTTTAATTGTTGTTCAATAATTATCAGAGATTTTTGACGAATCAAATAATCCGGCGGCGAGTGTTAACAGATTTTCATTTGGCCATATTATTTATGACACAAAGCCATGTTCGTAAGATTTTTTTTTTTATTTTATTATCATTAAATTTACAGTCATCTAAAGTAAGTTTGATACGCTCGAATTTCGTTATTATTTTTATTTTTTAAAACCCCGGCCTGTTATATAATGCAGTAAAATTGATGTATAAAAACTCACGTGCGAGTCGTGAATGTTGTAAAATATTTATTGCCGCCACGATGCGAATTGTATATTGTAAAAATACAAAACAAAAAACAAATATAACATCTATTTTGTATTATACGAACCAATACACTACACTACCTATACCTATACTACTCATATTCCCCCTTTTTTTTTTTCGTTTCTCTCGGAGCTTATTGCACCGGAGACCATATAATTCACACATGCATTCAATTGTTTATAATATACGATGGCTATAAACAACATCCGCGATAAATGGCGCCGATAAATGTTGGAAAAGTCACTAAACAAAATAAACTTGCTGCGCGAGATAACCTCCTTCCCCCCCCTCCCCTCGAGAAAAAATTAACGAACCGCCCTGAATTTCTCAAGGTTCTACTCGGCTAACGTTATCGCATCGCAATACTACAGCATTGGTGCATAAAGCACCGCTTTTTTTAAATTTCTACTGATAATTTTTTTTTTTAATACCACGAAGAAAACGTCGGTTTTTTTGTTGTAATTTAATAAGTAATGAGTTCAAAACTAATGGAAAAAATGAAATGTAAATCAATTAAAAAATGACCATTGTTCATAGAACTGCAGAGTCATGGTGTTTGGAAAATTAGATAGGCCGTGGAATCAGGAAGAAATACAAAATCCATCTTATTTTTGTTTTTTATTTTTTTTTTATTTTTTGACGATGATTTTTCTGATAGAAATATGGTTTTACAATCGAAAATTGCAGATGATTAATGCGAGTTAATGTCTCAGTTATTAATATGTTCAAAGGCGTCTGAAGTTCAAATTTTAATGGGATCCGCAATGTTTACTTTAAATTTCGATAAAAATGTTTAATCTCTCAAAATTGTATTTTGCATTTGCAATAATTAATTAATAATGCACATTCAGGACTTCATTGGCTACGACACGAGAGGAGCTAGATCCTATTCCTATACCCCCCAAATAGCACAGGTAAAAAAATCAAATGTTGTTTTAAATTTAAAAAACATTATGCTCCTAATGTTTAATTTAAATTAAATGTATTTTCATCAGTATAATATAAATAGTGTATAGTGTAATGCTTCAAACAAAAATTGATAAAGAAACTGTATAATATACTATATTATACACCATGACAAATCCGTCCTCCAAGGAGAATATCGATCAAAGGCAGTATAATATTATTGTATCATTTTCAGTAATACGTTTTGTTTTTTTTGTTTGTAGTAGCCGTTTGGCACCCATGTAATCTGCGCCCTGATACGTAATACTCCTACAGCCTCATTAAATAGGTTCGTTTTCACACGGTTCGGTGTAGAACACGTCCTTTCGAGCGGACGGAAGAAATAACCGGAAACGTTGACACTCAAATCGTAAAAATAATACGCAAACATAAACGCCTACGCGGCGAAGAAGGGGGGGGGGATGGCTATAGCCTCCTCCATAGCCTTCCCCTCGGATTTCGCAGCAAACCGGCGCGATTTATTAAACGCAATAATTTCCAGAATTATGTCCACGTTACGCACACATAATACGCTTATACATTCACACAATAATAATATGTACCGGCTGCTGCTGCTGCTGCTGCTGCTGCTGCTGCTGTTTATCAGTGCGTTTAAACCGAATACGCCTGTAATATTGTACAGACTGGCGCGAGTGATTATTATAATAACAGAGAACAGACACGAAGATAATAATATGTCAAGCAAACAGTATATAATTATTGTGCGCGTTATAACGGACAATGTTCGTATTATACATTTATACGTGTCCTCGTTATAATAATTATAAAATTTATTATCGTGTATAGCGTATACTACGCTTCAAAACATAATATCGGAAGTATCATTTTCTTGATAATATTATTATTATTATACACATGATACAGCGGTTTGTACACGTGATCACTATTATAATAATATTTTTATCTTCAATGATAAATATGTCACATTATATTATATGTGTATGTACATATTATTTTATCTCGCCGCGACACTGAGGGAGGATGAGCTGCACAGCAGATAGGAGAACCATCTGTCTCGAATTTGTGATGTACCCGTTATAAATCGCATTGTTTGCATTTACAATAATATTTTCAGGTTGTGTAATATTAAATATTTACACTGATGATATTATACATTTACATGTATTTGATTTCCTGAGCCGAATTTAGAGGGTATCGTGAGAAGGTAACAACCCCGCAACGATATTTTACATTATTGGCGATTAAATTTTCCCTCTTCTTCGTCTTTTTCAATTCTACGATCATTGTTGCCACCGTTAATACTTCGCATCACTTCTACAAAATTAGTACTGAACGTTAATGATTAAATGTAGGCGGCAACAAAAACAAAAACACATTTACCTCGTGAAAATAATTGTTAATAAAACGTACAACGTTTTAAACGTAGTTTTTATTAAAAACATTTATCTTAACAACTTTGATTGTGCCTATAAGATACGTATACATATTTCTCGCGCGTAAAAAAATTCCATCGAGTGAAAAGTCGGTATCTTTTAAGGTATACGATGCAAATAATTTGGAGCGTTTATACTAACCGGAAAAACAGTTTCTCCGCTATAATCGGTATTTAAAATATTAAATAGCCGACATTTTCCTAATTAAAACACAGTCAGCAAACAATGTTTGTTTGCGTCGCGGACCTGATGGTATCACTTATTAAAATTATACGATATAATAAGATATTTCTTGTTGTTGTGACAAATTCGAAATATTTTTAATTACACAGTTATACCTAAATAACACTCCCGAGGCAGATACCTATATAAATTCAATAATTTATTTGAAAATCAAACTGATAACATTTAAAAAAAAACAAGTTATTCGAAAGATTAATCGCGTCAATTTTTTTTTTTTTTATTATATACCTACGCGGACGTTTTTTTTTAATTTTTTTTTTATGTATAAATAGATATTTAAAATCAATTTTTTTTTTTTTTTACAAAAACGTGTTGTAGGTAGTTCATAAGATTTACTCGCTCGCTTAAATGTATAAACGATTATACAAATATAATATTATATATATATATATATATATTTAAATCGAAAAAAAGTACCATTACGATTATTGAGAGTGTGTATACAGAAAACAAAAATGTATTATAACTCGACGACCAATATGTGTCTATAATATACGAATATACCTGTATGTGTGTGCGTGTATCCCACACACATACACGCACACACATATACACGCGTTATAAACAACTATGATTTAAGTTAAACCCGTTAAATTAGCATATATTATTATATCCCTTTTTTTAGATAATGCAAGATGGTGTCCAAAATATATATAATTGTATAAGTCATCGGGTTGATAAAATCAATCGTACAATCGTATACGGCTACAGATATGTTATTTTTTGCATATTTTAGCATTTTATTTCAATATTAATCACGTATATTTATCAATTTGCGGAGAACCGACTATATATATATATATTATAACAAAAAAATAATAAAAATAAAATTGATTGTAATCGAATGAAACTAGATAGGTATAAAACGCCCGGTCCATGCGAAGTCCCTATCTTGATGGTCGGCGTTTCAACTATCGCGATATAATAACGATCGCATAGAAAGCGCGTTTATAATATGTACGGTACATTAGAATGATAGTAGAATAATACGTGATAATATAGAATGAATTTCGATAGAAACGTCTATGAATGTGTTCTCACGGTAAGTAAATAACATCACTCTCGTGACAGTAACTATCAAATATCACGTACTCACGATAGTTACTAACGCAATCGTGTTCACACGATGATAGTTTATGATAATATATTACAACTGTAACGGTTGTGTATTTCACAACTATCTCATCAACAATGATATAGGAAATATTTTCGTGGAGAAGAGGCGGGCTGTAATGAAAAGTTATCAGTGGTTTTAACGAATTATGGGGGTAGGGGCGAATTTTATTTATTATTATTTAGTGGCAAAATATAATACGTATTTCATGTCGAAACTTTAAAAAAAATTATAATATAATAATAATACCGAAGTTTAAAGAAGTTTTAGGACATTTTTCCCATCGGACAGTAATTATATTATACACTCATATATACTAACAAAATGTGATCTAAAGTATTTACGGCTAAGGAGAAAAAAATTCCTAAGAAAAAATGAAACCCCAATAAAACTAAAAACCATAATACAAACGCCTAAACAACATTTAATAAAACTCTTTACAAAATATTATCAATCATACTAATTTCTAAAGGGTTTTAAGTTTATTGACTGCGAAAATTTGTTCATGTATATAATACACGTATGTAAATACAGTCACATTCGCTTAAACGATGTCGGATGCAACGAAGTTTCGTGTAAAATGATTCTCGGCAATACTTTAAAATTTAAATTCGACATATTTGTATAATATTATTAAGGCGGTTGAAAGCGATTCGTTTTTTTCATATATATTTGGACCAATAAGCTGGAGTAAAGAGAACATTACTTACTAGTTGCAGGATTTCCATTTCTGTTTTGAAAAATGATTTAACTTTATTCTTATATTTTATAAGGAATATGTTTGGTTTTTTTTTTGTACGAATATATTATAAGAAAAAAATATATTCATTATGTACTTTAACTAAATTAGCTAAATAAAATACCGAGCAAATATTTCCTGCATAACAGACATTAAATGAGTAAATTTTATTCCTGTTAATTATTATTAATCTAAAACGTCATAAAAACGACAGTACTCCTTATCCTTAAATAGGTATTGAACAGAAGATTAGTGGAAGTCTTCTCATTATAAGGTGGTCATTAAAATGTAAAAATAATTTTAAAACTGTATAAGAAATTGAAAAAAATTTGAGAAACCGCTTTCAACCATCGCAATATTGAAATATTTTGGTACGTTCAAAAAAAAAAAAAGAAAAAAAAAGTACAATGCGTCTCGAGTGAAAAATTGGAAGAATTGACGAGCCCATCGCTGACAAATTGTGACGCACGAATCATCCGGAAGGGAGGTGGAAGGGCATTTCTGTCGATTCACCGGGGCTGTTGCCAAAAGGTATAGAGTGCGAGAGAGAGAGAGAGAGAGATTTTTTTTTAGGAGGTAATCGAGTCGGTATACAGGATGATGAAACGGAAGAGGGCTGCCGGAGAATAAGAGCCAGTTCGGAATCGGGTAATGCGCCTATACAATAGCAGCCTTTCTTCGATAAGAGATGTACACACAAGCGGAGATAACGGGCTCCACCGAAAAAGTTGTTAGGATATACGATACGATACATAATATATATATATTATGTATAGACGCGCAAAAGTTGTACGAGTTATTTTAAACATGTCCGCTGAATAATAAAATGGCGGCCATAAAATTGCACGCGAGTCTGAGCGGATCAGGACGACCCAAAAGAAATATGCGTGTGAAAAAATGATACGAATTCCCCAATCTAGTTGTATATTGTGTATAATACCCAAACTGCAGTCATAGCTGTATAACATATAATAGTACCTGTTTACCTAGTCAAATTCTATTAAAATATACTTACATAAACGCGCCTAGACGTGATTTCAATAACATCAAAACGAATAATGAATAATGTTTAAGGTTATTTTTTCCTAAATATTTGTATAATAATAGTATATCTACTTTTTGCTTTTAACGTAAAAAACACGAAAAAAAAAACAAACAAACAAACAAACACCTCAAGTTCAGTGATGTAATCTTTTTGACAATGACTGCCGGGATTAAAACGCACTCGGAGAGGGTGATATTCGATATATAAAATACTTTGTAATCTCGTCGTTTCTCAACATTGCATTCTTTGTTTTACATTTAATTTTTAAAGTAAAAAAACTATATATTTATACAATATACATATTATACATGTACATAAAAAAAAAAAAGCTAACAGGTGATTAATGAATAGTGATAAAATGATAACAAACGATCATTACCAGTTGGCACGAATGGTAAATACTGGGATAGACGCGGTATATAATGAAAACGTGCAGTCTTATCGGCTGATATCATCTAACGTCGTGTACTCTTTTTTTTTTTTTTTTTTTTTTTTTTTTTTTTTTTTTTTAACAGAACTGTTTGAGAATGAGAAGACATTCCGTATACTCGAAAAGAAATTTAAATTAAAATCCTTATTGGGAATAAGGACACATCGACGACGCAAAACAAACGTTTAAAGTTGAATAACCCAAATTCGTATTAAATATACAATATTCAAACTGTGTGTTTGTTAGATAACGGAAATCAAAAATATAGGAGAGAGTAATGTGTGCTCGGGTGCCCCCTTATCGCTCGGGTCTTTGCACGAATTTATAATTTATTATATCTTAAAACGAGTTAGTATTGAAATGAGGCGTTATATTATAGTAAAGCAAATATTTATGAACAAAAAAAAAAAAAAAAACAACAACACGAGTAATAATAATAAAAGTGTACAAAAACTTGTCTTTGTGCGTGAAAGAAATGCAACGTCATAACAAATTTATAGTATTCAGTTTGATTTCTTAATAAAGCAATATATAAAAAAAAAAAATGTCCACTGTTTGTTTTTTAATTTTCAACCAAACTAAAAATAACAAATTTTATTGAAGATATAAAGTGATAATATACCACTAGTTATCGATTTATTACACTATTATTATTAAACTTCCTGTCGTTTATAGTTACCACATCGCTTACCCCTAACAGCAGCACATGCCAGATGCCAGAGATTATATAGTTATTATTGATTATAATATATTATATTATAACACTATGTACCAAATAAACGTATGCAGCGAAAATTAAAAAAAAAAAAAAAACAATGTACGACACAACTTGCATAACAAATTATGATCAAAATCGGAACATAATCTTTACTTTTTAATTTCAGAATTACAATGTATTGTGGTTGTTTATAAAAAAATAATCAAACGAGTTTGTTAAAAATAAATAACCTTAATTTGTACTGAGCGTTACAAACGATGTTCGCAGCGGAAACTATACAGGTATACAAATGTGTGAGGTTTAAAACAATATTTCTCTTTTCTTACATTTTCGTACCTTATTTTAATACAACATCAAAACTCAAATTCAAAACATAATTTATTGATCGGCAAGTTTTTAAATAATACAGTTTTCAACTCGTCCCGCCGATATTCTCGTTATCTCTCGCACCTATGAAAAATTATACATCCGACGAAAAGTTTGTTTAATATTACATTACGAACTCGGTTTTATCGTACCAATACACTATTTGAGTTCACCTATTGTGTTTGTGACAAATTTCTAAAACACCGAATTACATCAATAAAATATCTTAATATTGTGAATAAAAAATAGCGTAAGATTTCAATATCTAACAACAATGCAATAATATGTTTTGTAAAAACCGTTCCGCGGTAAAATATTATAATAATACTCAGCAGACGGCGGCGCGGTGGTGGTGATTATCTGAAATGGTTACTGCGAATATACAATATAGATACATTCACAATTTCACAAATCGCCGATAAGATAAAAACAAAAACAAAAAAAAGAAAGTAGATTATTTAGTGTCTTATCATAACGATATTATTCGACACGTCGGAAAACCCGAAAACAATAGAACAAATGGACCACAAAGTACTTACGCACCTACGTCTTTGTCAGTTAACGAAAACCGACAAAAAAACCAAAACAAAACGAAATACGAAAAAAATGCCGAAAAAGAAAAAAAAAAAAATATATATATATATATATATATATGTATCTACCGGCTAGGTGGTATACCTATATATATATATATAAACGTTAGATCGACCGTCGTTTCTCGATAACATTGTAAGTGCGTATCCGGTGGCTGGGCGATAAAAGCGTTTTAGGTGCTTGTGGAGGGGTTGAGTGTCGATGGATAGGCTGCGAAATTCAGTATACACACACATTTCGAATTGAATAATAAAACGCACTGCACGAGGAACCAAATGATAAGAATGACATTCCGCAGATAAAACGAAACTTGCATGCCCGGCACTATATATTTGTATTATAATCGTACCTATATATTATATACCAATATGTACTAACCGATAAAAAGAAAAATAACCAGTTTTTTTTGTTATAAAAATAAAAAAAATTATAAAAAAAATAAAAATAGGTACCTATCTCGAATAATATTATATTATATGATTTTCTAATGAGATTTTCGTCCTGAAATGTACGCGAGATTGTCAAAAATCGACGCACGGAATTATAAGTACAGGTACCTTCTAATTTCGAGGGTGATTTTGAGTGAATCTATTAAAAAAGAAAAATTGCCAAAAACTAATCGGATCATCCACTTTGCCAAAATAAAATATCCGTAGAAAACTAAAATTGTGTAGAAAAATGTGTCCATTTACCAAAATTGTATAAGAATATACATTTGGTCCCGAGAATTAATTCAATTGGGTGTAGATTTTAATAGAAACAAATTAAATGTTTAAAATGTCTAAATGAAACGATGACGTTACTGAATGGCGTTTTAAATTTCCATAAGTCTGTAATAAGTCTGTAGTCTGTAGTTTTCCTTTTTTGCCAAATAAAAAGTACATAATAATAATTTAAGATTTTTTTAATTTTCAGTATAATACATAAATTATGCATGTGTTTAAATATATCTTCGAATATTTATGCTACTTATACTAGAAAAAAAAAAAATAATAATAAAGGGAAACGAATTATGTTAGACAAAAAAATAAATGCAAAAAGTGAACTTTGTATTTTTTCCCCGGGACAAAGGCTATACAATATTTCACAATTTACGTTTAGAAAAATGAGTTTATGGTACTATGATTGTTTATAAAATAAAGCCACAACTTCACTTAACCTAGTTGAAATGTGTGCATATTCGATTAGATTTACTGCGGTTCGGCGGATATATTGCACACTTCAGACGCTGGTGAGTTCGAAAAATTATAATTATTTCGACACATTATAAATGTCTATACCTGTATACAATTTTTTATCTAAGAAACCAAACGGAATTCAATCGCCATGAATTTCGGTAAAAACAAAATATTTATTTATATCAATGATTATATACAATAGACTTATAGCCTCTCCCTCTCCTCCCCTGGTATAGGGTGATATCGTCGGCTGCATCTTATCGTTTGGTAACCAATAATAATATTAACATTGCATTGGCTATCCGTCTATTCCACAATCAATGTTTATATACAATATAACGCGTACAGGTAATGATGTACGACCCCGCAAGACGCGTTGATAAGTACGATACACGTTATTTATTTTTTTAACGTTTATATAACATGCATTTTTGTTTGTTTCGAATTGAATTATAGTATTATGATTTTATACATACAATGAGAAAATGCAGTCGTATTATATGATTTTTTATAGACATTGGGTTTTATCTTACGGAATAATCGAAATGGGATTAAGATTAAAAATCTCAAAAACATTCTTAGAACACCAACACATATGGTCAATAAAAAAAAAAAAAATTATATATACATGGAACATAGTATAACAAATCGGATCAAATCGTAACGCTCGAAGAATATATATATATATTATGTACATAAATATATTTTTTTTTTTTTTTGTATAAATCAACAGACCGGATTTATATATATTCTCTGATCGCAAGTACTTATATAGGAATCGACAATACAGCGTGCACAAAAAAAAAAATTCTCAAAGTACGCGAGAAAATATGTTTATGTAGTACAGGTAGGTAATAATAATTTATTTGAAAAAAAAAAATCTAATGTACCATCCATAAATATTCCAAATAAATTATTTTGAAATGTAAGATATTCGAATGGGAAATTCGTGAATTTTTATTAAAAAAATTAATAAACCATAGTTGGACGTATTACAAAGTGGTCAATACAATGTACAAGCCACTCGTCAGGTACTACAATCGAAATGTATTGACTTAAAATTCAACATTAAAATTGATTTAAACTAAAACTTCATTAATCTATGTATAATATGCAATTCCCGACGTAGGTTTACGTTAGAAAATAGAAAAATGATAGTGATTTTGACCCCGAACTGTGATAACAAAATAAGGGTAATAATGCGTAACATTTCGGGAGTTGTTTATTTCTTGAATTTTCCAAAAACAAAAAAAATCTTGATCAAAATTAATACTCTCCGAGACAAATGAGTATTTTACGTTTTACACTGCAGATCTCATGATGATACGTTTACGTAAAACAATTTAGTTGTACCGTTTTATAATTAACCGCTGTGAATACTGTAGTTTTTGTACGTTATTCCGTGACGAAACTTGTATAAATCGTGTAATTATAACAAGGAAAAAAATCATTTTATATTTGTTGTGCCTATAACAAATTATTATCATATTGTTTGATATTTTGCAACGGTGCAGCATTTCGCGATCGAGCGGCGGCGCAATATTATTATACCGTACGCGTATTGTAGAGGTGATCTTTTGGTCGGTATTATATAGGTACCCACCACCATTTTGTACACGAGTGTATCGTGTCTAGCCAGAGTGAGAGAGTTATATACTGCAGCAGCAGCAGCATCACAAAGCCAGATTAGTCGGACCGATTAAGAGCGGAGAAACAAATAATAAATAAACCGAGCAGAAAATATTATTATCTGATCGACGTCCATAATCAGATTAAATCGGCGGCGGCGGCCTGCGGTTTGCGACCCGCTTTCCACCTAATACGGACCTACCGATGTATCGGGCGGCGGACAAAAGTCGTTCATATAATTTGTTACCGTGCAAGATAAAAAATAATAATAATAATAATAAAAAAAAAATAAAAAATAATAGTCGCGACGTGATTAAATCGTAGAGGTTTTTATTTTAATTGAGAGAAAGAGCCCATCGTGATGGGCCCGCGAAGCTGTTACTATATAATATTATTTTTCTTCTTCTTTTTCCCATATAAAAACCCTGCAACAACAGATGTTGGCGTATAATACATCACGATATTTGCTCCCGCGGATGACCTTTTGCCGTGACCCAACAAGTGGATAGCGAAAAAAATTATTTCCATAAGAATATTATTATAAATAAATGTTATTAGGTATAGGTAACTAAAACCCAAGGATATAGATACCTACTTGTACAATAAAAATTCTCGGTAATACTATTTTTTACCTTATACGATGACCAATAATTAACACTGATCAAACAATAATAGTACCTATAACTACTATTTGTAGTTGGCTACCTTTGAATTTGCTCCCAATAACGGTTTCAACAAGTTGTTTTGAAAATATTAAAAGTTGAAAAAGTATAACTAAATAAAATGTTTATTTTTAAATTATTTCGATATAGTCCGCCTACTTACTTAATTGAACGATAATTCCGAACGATTTTGGTAACCAATGTGATTAAAAAATAAAAAATAAATGCCGAGACAACCGATTCGAATTGCACCGCCTGCACTGCTGCAATGCGCGTTGCACATAATATTATCAAGAGGCGAAACCTCGGTCAACCGCGGCGACTATTTTTTTTTCTTTTTTTTTCTAACAATACACTATAGTATGTTTCCGTTTATATTTTCAAACAGTCGGATACAACATTATCTCTCCGTTTAAACGAAAAAATAATCAGAATGATCAGAATATTATTCGTGAAAACCGTCGCGACCGGAAGCATTGTTCAACGCGTGTTATCTATAAAATATAACGAGTCTCTCTCTCGAGTCTTACATATTATATTACGTTAGTAATTATTTTTTATGTAACAAGTCGTGTACCTATATCTATGTATATCGATCAAAGCGTTGGAATACAATAATTTTACAAAAATACAAAAATTATTCATTACAGGCGTGTACCCGTGTAGGTACACAACTGATAAATTAATAACAAAAAAACAAAAAAAAAAAAGTAAAAAAGCAGATTGCAGTATGTACGAACAACATCAAGATCATAACTATATTATAATAACATATTAATTAATGCAAATTTAAATATATAGGAAATATGCGGTTATTGGTTTGCGTATTGTCATGCTTTAACTATTCAGTTTATTGTATAGTTTTATTTTTTTAATTTATTTTATATATGACACCTATTGGTTTAATGATAACAATAACTGGTGTTCTTCGGAAATATAAAACCGTGTTAAAGTAGGAGAAACTTTGCCGTTCGAATATATAATATAATATAATATATGCCGTATTTTCGAGATAATAAGTATGGATACCATCAGCGTCATCATCATACTATTATTATTATGTAGGTACTATAATTTATTTGTCCAAGGCGTTTTGATAAAAAAAAAAAAAAAAAAAGAAAAAACCCTTTTTCTCCCTGCGTCTGACCAAAATCGATAAATAAAATACCGTTTTAAAGATTAAAAAGCCGTGAATCGTGATACCCGACACATGATGTGCTGTCTCCGTCTTTCAAACGTACGACAAATTTGCGTTCAACGTCGACAATAAATTTTGCTTTGTTAGTTTTGATATTAGAGGCAATTGACCTGTCGAACCCGTGTAACAATATTTCATTATCCGTGTAACCATGCAGGTGTTCTTCGATATTTTAATTTTCAAGGTAGATATAATAACATTTTTAAATGTTATGATAATTCCCATAGTATGTTTTATCTCGCTTAGAAATTAGAATATTGATAAAAAACTTCCACTGTTGCACAAATAATATTATGTCCACAATAGTTGTGTATTGTATTTACACACTGTTTCGGGTTGTCTCGACAGCTTTACATAATGTGCAACGAAAATCCGTTGCTACAAGGAAATCTGCAACTCCGCCATAGCTATTACAGTTTTGTTGTTTGTTTTTAAAATTGCCGTTTGTTAAATATCTTTTTCCGCTACTTTTTGACACTTTAAACAGCTTCTACAGGACCAAATAAACTCAGACTCGAGAACTAGAGTTGTATCCACCGTCGAAGTCATACAATTTTCGTTGAATTTCAATATGAATTTCACCGTGTTGTATAGCGGGAGAAGGGTGTATTTTTTAGCTTTGTAATTCGTACAGACATCCGAAATTAATAACATTTTGTACATGCATGATGTAAGTATCAGGGATGTGCCTTGTGCCCTTTTAAACCCCTCCACAACCAAATTTCATGTTTTCACGGGAAATACCGGATTTTAAAAAAAGTTTTAAGAAGGAAGCGCAGTTTAGGAACAGATGCACTCGCACCCCTTTGCAATTTGTATCCATAATTCCAGGCCTATTTTTTAACCGATACTTTGACCGTAATATTCAGGCTTGAATATCAAATTTCATACAGTTTTATAATAACAAACAGGCCGGGTGTCTGCAGATGAAAATTGGTCTGTTCGCAGCCCCTTATTAGAATCTGAAATTGCTACCCCTCCCCTCCCCCTTGTGACAAAAAAATTACAAAATAAATCTATGTGCACGCACTGTACGCACCATTACAATTACAATACACTTACGTATTCACGTATTCGCATAATAATATAAATTATTTGCCATTCAAAGTGTACCCAATAACAATTATAGCGTTTGAAGTACACGCAATAATATAATACCCAACAACAATAATATTATGTAGGTATCACGGCAGTGGCGGCGGTGGCGACGGTGGCGACGGTGGCGGCGGATGAAAATATTATAAACTCACTGTTAACATAAACTGTTCTATATTTATAATATCATATGTGTATACAGTGTAACGCACATGTCACGGACGATAATAATATTGGTATAACATCGCTATAATAATAATTGTAATTATTATAATGCGCATACGAGTGCCACTTAAAATACTTAATTATTTGCTCAACTTCAAACGATTTACATAATACAATATTATAGCATAATATACGTATTATAATAAACAACACTAACGATAATATTATAATTATAACCCGTGGTAAACGTACACGAAAATATTGTCGTCAAATATAATTTATAAATTAATAATGCTGCAGGTATAGGTATATCGACGATATATTATTAGACTGTAATGATGAGAAAAAAAAAGCTCGTGGCAAAAAAAAAAAACACGCGTATTCGTGAGCTACGATAAATATTTTATATTCACGAATACCTCTATACCGTATTCAGTATATTATTTTTAATAATAATACCGATGAAAAAAAACTCGTGCTAATTTTATGTAAATAATCGTAACGTAACGGATTGTAATAATATATAAAAAATATAGGCATACATTATAATAACCATATAGAATAAAACATCGTGTCTATGATTCGAGACATTCGACATGTTAGTATTTTGTCTTGCGAACGTTAAATTTAGACGTAGAAGAAATACTACCGAAAATATTGTTTCGTATACTGATTTGAATACGTTCGAATGGAAAAAATAATATACAAATATATATTGGATAATTTCAGCGATAATTCTCAATGAATAATATTCCGTCGGGGACGTTCGGTGTAGTGTTATACAACTGTTCGACAGACTATACTTAGGCAATTTCGCGTATTTTATTTGGAATAATTGTTCACGTATATTCGGACGACTATAAATAATATTTTACCGAGAATAACTTGGAAAAAAATCGGTCGTTACACAATAATTTTTGTACCGGAGTGTCGACCGGACAGGGGTAAACGTATAAAATCTATGTGAAAAAAAAAACGAAATAAAACAAACGTTAAAATGTCATCACACTGTACACCGAACACGAATATGTCTGTATTGCTCGATATACAGAAAACAAAATAAAACAATTTATTTTAGCCAGGTGTTTTTTTTTTTTTTTTCTGTTTAATTCATAAATTAATAATTCATTTTGCATTGTTTCAGGAATAACTATTATGAATTATTTCGACAAATTTTACATTACACACTATAACGATATAGGTATACTTGAATTTTGAATAAAAAGTTGTAAACGATAGTACTTAATAATAATAATAATAATAATATAATAGCACGTTTAAAACGACAACCGAAGATAATACGAATTTAAATACAACACACATAAATAATATTGAAATCGAGTGTTGGAAATACGTAAGTACTTATAGATTGTATTGAAATGTCAAATTTAAGCTCTAATATGATGTACTTGTACGAATCGGATTTTCGTTCTAACTATATAACTATTTTAACACACGAAATAGATGAGTGCCATACACACTAGGCGAAATTCCATAATACGCAACTTTGGCCTGCAGTTAGTATAGGTATGCAGGTGCAAGGTGTTTATAGACCCGACCTTTGAACCACACACTTTTCCTCGGTATAAATGTAAAACTAGACGGCGCATTATATAAATAGGGAACGAATTTGTATGCACTTAAAATCTGTATAAAAGTGCTTAAAAACATCGAAAAAACCACGAAAAAAAGCGCTCGAAAAATGTTTAAAAAAAAACAAAAATAGTAACGGGGTTTAAAAGTCCCCTCTCCAACCGCGCTATCTAATTCGATAAACTCTATATTCGATAAAATTCCAAACTACGAAAAAGATTTTAAAACGAATTTATTATTTTTTTTTTTTTTTTAAATAAAACTGTGTGTATTGTAAAAACACTTTGTGTTAATCAATGTATAAATATTGTGTTTTATAAGTAAGAGCCGTTAACGAGTAACAATGGGGGGGGAGGGATTAAAATTACTCTACCATTTTAACTTTTCAAAGCTTTGTTTCGCGTAATTGTTGACGTTTCAAAACCCTTTATACGGATTTTAAGCGAATATAAATCCGTTTCCTACACATAACGTATGCCTATTATGCTCTTATAATATCGAATAGCATTTTTTACGTTGAAAACAATACTTACATATTACTGTACCTATAGTAAAATTACTGCATCGTAATAATTGTCGCGTGTAATGTGCAGTGTTACATAACGAAAACACTCGACAAAATAACATGAACGTATAGTTAGGTACAAACCGTCGTACGTTTCGCTACCCATACGTCCGTCAGTATTAATAACGTATTATAATAAAATAAAATTTGAAAAATAATACTAAAAATAATTCGATAGTTTGTTTCTTCTTACTTTTTTTTTTTCCACGTACACGTGGATTTATAATATTAACCATTACATTATCAATACGTTTCACTAATATATAATTTAAACCATAACCTTTAAAATATTAAATATATATTATGATATTGTTACTGAAATTTTCACTATATATGCCGTCGATCGCGATAGACGTAATATTATAAATAATATAAATAATAATTGATCGTTATTTTATTTCAACGTGGATTTTACCTCATGATAGGAAACGGGTAAGTATGTGACACACGACAACCGTTGTTTACCCGCGGTACTCCGCACGACGCGCATAGGTAACTTAAGTAGTACTTTTTTTTTTTTTTTGTTTTATTCAAATAACAGTACACTTACCTGAAACAAAAATATTTAATACATTATTAAAATTATATAGACGATAACAATATATTATAATATGTATTGCTTAACTTATATAGATATAATGTGTATACAGATATGCTACAGTTTTCCGAATTTCACGTTATACGGTCACATTTTTAACGAAATACTAATTTCTTCAAAAAATATTTAGTTTCTATTGAACCGTTCATGAGATATCACACTTTTTGAGTAGATAGAGAGGAGTATCGTCTGTGTGGCGATACGGTGTTCGGCCAGTGAATAGTGTTATACACAAACTCAAAAGCGGAATATGTCGTCAACGAATTGATGGAAAATAAAAAAATTTCAACGCCAAAATGTATTCAATCTAAAACACCTATTGAATTTCCAATATAGGTGGCTATTTGAAAATCGAAAGTGGGTAATGGTTTCACCCTCACAAAAAATAAGGCAATGCGACATTTTAGAATGTATATGCGATTCCAAAAAGTTAAACGCGAGTCTTTCTTTTTTTTTTTCAAAAAATAAGAATTTCAAGGTGAAATTGTACTGTAACGTGAAATTTGAAAAACCCAGTTAGCCTGGATATAGACACAATTTCTGCAATATATTTTATTGAAATAAAATCGAATACGTGTATTATATTAAAAGTATAATGCCTATAGGTAAAAAGGTATAAAGGTAGTAATACAAAAGCGGTACATTAATTCCCAAACGTTGTGCGACGATAAATCGGATAAACAGTCCGACAACGCGGACTTTAGCGCGCCGTTTTGATTAAAACGCAATCTGCACAGGAATTGGAGAAGAAACTTTTATAAAAGCGCGCTCTTATCTATCTGGAAATACTACACTGCACTTATCTGCAGCGGTGGCTTCCATTTGACTCGTATATCGATACCATAATAGTCTCTATCTATATCATAACAAGAATAATAAATGTGCGATACGTATTTAATATTTTATAAAACCTACATATATAATCTTTTTCAAAACACCGCATGCAGTTATTGCGGTGGTAAACAATTTAGAGGTTTATAGACTCGTCGTTGAAATAGCCGAATCGAATGTGTACACGAAAAATAAATATTAAGATTTATTTATTGAGTTAGATGATCCTATTGCCTTTGCCTTATTATAATGAACCGTTATTATAAAATCGTATTGAAATCAACGTCTCGGCAGTACTGATTTTGCCGTAATGTGATTGTACATACTATAATACCTTCATCGTTGATCTACTGATAAATATAAAATTAAAGGGAGATGGGGGCAATAAGTCTATGAGTTCAATTGTTTATAATATACCTGATACCAAAGCACGATTGTTATAAATAAAAAAATATAAGCATAACGGTCTCCTTTCTATTATTTAATATAATATATATATATATAATGGTGTATATACCCGTACTGAAATATATGTTTAAGTAGGTTATATTATGGGTTTGTATTGGTATCGTTTTAATCCGCTTAAGTAAAAAAATGTCACAAACGAACATTTTTATAATATTACGTATATGAATTATACGTGTAAAAATTTGAAAAAAAAAAATATATACATGTTATTTTATATACATCACAAAAAAAACAACGCCATCGATCGAGAGCCATTTGAAAACGAGATAAAATAGGTACCTATGTTCGTTTAGGTATACAGGCGACTCTAATATTTGACAATCAGGTTTATTGTATTCAGTATATTGTAGGTAGGTAAATAATATTGTGAATAAAATTATTTATACGAACGGACATTTAAGAAATTCGTGTTTTGAAATTATGTTAAGATGTTAGAAAAGAAAAAAAACGAACGTTATTAACTTAATTAAAATTCAACTACACACGTGTTACACGAATATTATAATATAAGTATAATAGGTACCTATAAAAAGTAATTCGATCATATATTATATATACGTTTAAACGGCGGATGAAAAAAAAAATAATAATAATAATAATACGTTATTAAAGTGTTAACATGATGCGGTACATTTATATCGCCCACAATATCGATAATCATTGATGAAATTTATTCATTTTTTTTTAACGATATGTTTTCCGCGTGAGTCGCTCGTGTGATTTCCAGCCGACGGACGGGCTACTATATTATTATATTGTACAGAACAAACAACACTATTGGCGTCGTGTCATTTTTATTATTATTGTCGAGCTGTATTGTGGATTTTTTTTTTTTTTTTTTTTTTTTTTTTTTTTGAAATTTCTAAATCCTACATAGTACCTGCATGTTATTATTATTATTATAATATTAAGTAAAAATCGAACGAATAATACTGAATTCGTGTATACGTTTTATTTCGCGCGAACAATTAAATAAAACATAAATACGTGCCCGTAATTAAGCGCGGCTAAAAACGTCACCTATTAGTCATTGCAAATCTCCAAGGATAACTACACACCATATTATACGTACGTACACAATATACGAGTACTATTGGATAAATCGGTTTCACATTACCGATAGAAAATCAGCCAAACCGGTCGAGTTGAACGCTCAGGACGACGACAGACGTTGTAATTTTCTTTATCACAATATTATTATCATATTATTATATTATTGTAATCGCGTTATTGGTTTCTCGAATATTGCTCGTATCGTAACAATACATAATAACATTCGACAAGAAAATACATTTTACTTTTAATTGCATAGATTGTAATTTTATAAAATCATAATTATCGCTTATAAATTATTATAATATTATTTATAGGAACATTGTACCGCTGTTGATTCAGTCCTCCTACTTTTCCTTATACACAATACGCTATCTAAAATCTGAATCGGTTTAGTATTTGTTTTTTTTTTTTTTTTTTTTTTATTTTCTGTATCGCGGTTTGTTTAGTCGGTTCAAAAATATAGTAGATTTTTTTCAAATTTAAAATGACATTCGTTGGTTTAACTATGACGTGTGCCTTTATTTCTGTCTGAACAAATGATCTGCCAGAAATTTGCTTCAATTTAAAACCGACAGGAGAGCTTTACGTGTCAAATTTTGTACGTTTCGATGCATAAGGGAGATCAACTATTTAAAAAAAAAAAAATAAAACAAAAACTAACGTCGCTATTGGCTATAACTTTTTTATACGGTAGTTAAGAAAAAAATGTACACATAGTCTTAAAAAAATATTATTTTAATTATTTTTCCCTTTAAACTCTAATTTCAACATAAACGCCACGATTTATGTTCTAAGTAACGTAATTTTGCTATGCAGCTCCTCTCCATAATTATAGTGGAATACGAACACGCTGATACGCAAATAAATATTTTCGTTAACGTTCAAAGTATGAAAATGTTTTCAAAATAACTACACGGGAGTATAAACACACAACATAATTCACACGAATACGACCTGCAACTCGATCGCATCGCGACAGTAGATTATTACTTAATATATTTCTCATTAAAAAAAAACTGTCCCGGCTAAATGCAAATACGGCGGTCTGGTTTGTTTTCGATGCAATACGTTTCAATGTTCGACTATAATCTGCAGATAATTTATCGGAATAAAGCCGGGGTTACACGTGTTTATACTCGGCCGAGTCACTAAAGCAAATTGCTAAATCGAGTGCTAAATTACGTTTAACAACTGTTTATTGATAACTATTTATTATACACGGTCCAGTAAAATTGACTAGTGCAGTTCATTCGAACGAGTGGTGTTATATGATGAAAAATCGGGATGCTGGTATAAAAGAACAAACGCCGAAATCCGAGAAATTGCCAAGGAGTCCCAAGGTGATCAACTATATAAAAGCTCAACGATTACAATGGTTCGGTTACGTTATGAGAAGAGATGAAGCAAAGGCTGTAAGAGCAGTCATAGAATATCATCAAAATGGGAAATGACCTAGTAGTAAACCGAGGAAGCGATGGCTTTACGGGGTGAAGCAAGGCTTAAGAACAATTGATGTAGAAGATTGGAGAGAAACTGTACAGGATAGGGATAAATGGAAGGCTGTGACGGTGGCGGTGAAGACTCTTGGAGAGCCATAAATCAGTACTAAATAATGCGTTTACATTTGGACAAATAGAATTCTAAATTCTAAACACGTATAATCCCGACATAACAATAACATAATAAATACATTTAAACTCCATAATATTGTACACCTAAGTTCCTCGAAACATTCGGAATGCGGTGTTGGAGCCAAACGGAGAAAATAATCGAATAAGAGTTACGAATGGACTAACTCAAGTCGACGAAACCCGAACCTCAATGAATGTCGTACGACATGCGGGGACGATTGGACATAATGAGATTCGTCCTATACGAAACAATGAAGAATTGAACGGCACTGAAATATAGAAGGTGCGATTGAACTCTGAAGGGCGAAATCCATCAAGGAGATCAAGCAATTCATACATATCTCGACTGAATATAAAAAAAAAAAATGCGGAGACAGACGTTTTATGCCGGATTAAAGATATAGGCTTGCTGTAGACCGCAAAAAATGGTGAATGAATTAAACCAACCCAATGAGAGGTTGATAACGAAAATGGAAAAAAAAAATTAAACTGCAGCGTTCAACAGTATACTGCAATATTCGTCGAGTAACGAAAATGTTACATATCATTCATTCGTATGTACGGCCGTATAGGCATAATTATTAATAATCGGTTTTCCTTTATTTTTTTAGTCGAAGATAAGATAAAAAATAAAAATAAAAAAATACCGACTGATGGTGTTTTGTGTGAAGTTATTGGTTATATAATGTGCGGTACATAATAATAATAATACACCTTAGTACGCTCGTTTTATTATATACAAAATACATACGCGATGGATCAATATTATAAACCATGCCTGGCAATATATGCATAGGAAAAAAAAAAAGAATGAACAAATTATTGTTCATATTTGTTGTTTATACCTATATATATATATATATACACGCGGTACGTAAGTAATATTCCAGGATTATCAGATAAAGGCGTGTGCACCTTGTTAGTTTGTTACCTAGGCACCCATTATAATAATATTCGTGACACAAAATCTTATAATAGTTTCCTGCTGTATTATACACGATAAGACGAGTAGTAGGATACGCATTATTTTTTTTTCTTCTTCTTCTATTAAATAAAAAAATATAATATTGTGTTTGTATGTTATATTACCCAAAAATCTCGCGGATAACAGATCTAGGAAAACAAAAAAAAGATTTTGATATCGTTTGACGAACGAGAAATAATAATACGTCGTCGTCGGTAAAAAGTCTAACCGTCAACCGTACAGTAATATAACGATATTTGTATATAGAAACGAAACGATTTTGTTCTTACAATTTAATGTAGCGATAGATGTAAGAATATAAACGGCTTTTTTTCCCCAAAGTCTACAACGGGCAAAACTCTACGTTAGGTGTGATTTAAAAAAAAAAAAAAAAAAAATACCGATCGAAACGTAGCCCCCCGTAAGAACCGTATCGTAAAAAATATATACACGTAAAAATGTCGACGAGTCGTACATAATATTATACACTGCGAATTCGTATAATTTATTCGGAACGGTCGAGCGGCGAACGAGGGGGGGGAGGTGGGGGAGGGACCGTTAACGCGATATATTATATAACGCGCGGTGTCTTTTACTTTTTTTCCCGTAAAGCCGTCGGGCACAATCGATACATGACATTATTATTATTATTGTTATTATTGTCTCGCCCGGCTCACGGCGAATTTTCAATTAGTTTGTTGTTTTTTTTGGTCGTTTGTTTTTTTTTTTTGTTTTTTTTCTCCCCTCTCCCCTCCCCCCGCCTCCACACACGCACAAACACATACCTCTCGAACCTTACGCACGCAGCGGGGTGTACATTATATTTTTAACAGGACCGGGCGGGTGTGCCCATACCGTATTACAGAGTCAGCAAAAGTCGCCGTAAACCGTTAATATTTTCGCCGCGCGGCAGTGTACTGCACGGTGTATAGGTATTGCAATGATATTTTCCCGACGATACGGATCTCACGCGGAAAACGACTCTGAGGGGTGAGTGGGGGGGGGGGGGGGGAATTGATTTTTCCCGCCCGATTCACGCGGCGCGAGTCGCAGAGACGGTCGCGACCGCCGCCGCCGCCGTCGCGCCGTACGTGTCGTTCGACGACGTGAAGTCGCCGCCGCCGCCGCCGCAGTGCCGTATAAACATAAAACCGCCGCCGCTCTGCCCGAAACCACTTAACCGGATTAGCCGTGCGCGTATAGAAAAAATACATACGTGTATATACTATAACGTTGTTATTATTATTATTATTATTACGTGTAGGTACATATTAATAAAAAAAAAAAACAAAACGCGTCTACCCGCGTGTCGGCCGGGTGTTCCGAAAAACCTCGCGCACCGGTACAACAGTATAATATTATTATTATTATTATTATTATAACAGCATCACGAAGACGACGACGGCGCGGCACGCGGACGGGCGAAACGTCGCCGTCGTCGTGTGTGCATTATCGTTATCAATATAAATGTGGTTTTTTTTTTTTTTTTTTCACCTCGAACAAAATCGAGTAGAAAAAAAAAAAATCGAAGAAAAGCCTAACGCGCGCACGCACCGGTTTCGTGGGGAGCTGCCGCGTCCCGCGTTCATTTCTGTATATTAAAAATACACGGTTCCCGAAGATAAGACACATATTATTATTACATAATATCGGTCGATCCGTAAAATAATAAGATGCGGTCGTTTTCGTCACGTGGCGGCGGCCCAGCTACGTTTACCCGCCGTAGTTGTACCGCACAACGCTATCTCTATAATATAATCCGTCGCGTCTGCCACTCACTCTCTCTCACTCACTCTCTCTCACACACACCCCCCGCTCGCTCGCTCTCTCTCGCTCCCCGTCTATCGTCCGCTCGCCGTCTATCTCGCTGGTAAAGTCTCGACGAAAAAATAACAATACGACGATCGCCGACGATAAAGATCGGGTTTTGCGCCGAGAGATTCGGCCTTTTTACGCGCGCGCGCGCGCGTAGTTCGCTCGGTTATCTCGCTGTACTATCGTCGGCGGGCGATGGCCGAGGGGCGCTTTTTTCTTTTTTTTTTTTTTTTTTTTCCGGCCCGTCACCCGCCGACCGAATTTCACATGTATAAACGCCGTATATAATATATAACACAACACTATACGGTATAACGGGGGGTAGGGTATCACCCGCGTCGCTAATAGTCGGAACCAAACGCCGTACGTACACGGCGAGATAAACGCGCGCGCGCGTGCCCGCGATAATGTAACGGCCGAGGGGTGTGCGCGCGCGTCCGAAAACGCGGAATTCGAGATTAACGTCGATATGATCTCGGGTAAAAAAACAATACGAGGAATAGTTTACTCGAATAATCCGACGCCATTGAATCCGGGCGTTCCCTATAACGAAAATCGATTTGAAAATCGTCGTACCTACGGCGGTTTTGAAACCCCGAAGCGCCGAACCGGCTCAAACTCGGGAATTAGAATTTGAAATCGATAGGCTTTTCAATATCAATTTAACCGTGTCGTCGCGGATCGAGATTGTTTTTTTTTTTCAGTGCCCCGACAGACTTTCCGAATGAAACAGTGCACGGCGTTTGTATCGTTCGCTTTTTTGTCGGTTTCGGCTTTCATCCACTACACCTGCCCCTTTTTTTAGTATCAAATTTCGCGATCATTTTCGTAGCATAGTATTAATATCATTGTAATATTCCGGTATTTATTGTATTGGGAAAAAATGTCTCTATAAGAGGACGGTACACGTCATGCATTTGTTATTTGCGTCTTACAAACGCGCGGTATAGTCATAACATGCATACGCAGACCATACGGAACTCGCTTGATACGGGTTTTAGAGTAAAACGCATACTATAAAATCAAAAGAGAACGGTATTCCGGAGGGCGAGACGATGCGTTTTTACCATTTTCTCCGTGTATAACAGTCGATTTACCGTTTATAAAGAACGACTTTTTCAACGTGTTTTTAATTCGATTAAACATTTTTTTTTTTTTTTTTTTTTTATCACATCTCGCGTTTGTAAAACAGAAACAACAAACTATGCAACCATCACGAGTAACGTTCTCATGAAATTGGTGTATTGGAGTTCGACTCCGGCATAACGGAGCTGCGCCGCTCGCGGGCGCGTAATGTTGTACATTTCTGATGTTTCGCAAACGATAAACAACCCGAGCGGGTCTTTCCACGCGATCTCATTTATCTCTACGGGCTTTATTTTTATTTCTTTCCGCCCCGCAAATAGAGGTGTCCGTTCGTGGATTCGCGGTACAGATGTTTGGCGGGTTTTCGACTGGCCGGGCGCACCGCGCTCGTCGTAATAATAATAATAATGCACGCGCGGTGTACAGACAGGTACATCCATAAATTTCGCGCGCGTCAATCCATCCCTCTCGCCCCCGTCTTTCGTGTTGGACCGCAACGGAGCCCGTATACCTCTGCGTGCACACTCGCGCGCGCAAACGTATAAAACAATATTGTTACACATAGGTGTACACTTAAATCCCTCATCGCAGCGTACAGTATCGGATACTATACATGTATAACAGGTATTATAGCGCTCGTCGCGTACCTACGTATAATCGTAGTAATAATAATAATACGCCACGGAGTGGTGGTTATCTGCACGCCGTCCGTCGTTATCAGCGCACCCGGTATATTACGTACACGTATATATATACACACACACACACACACACACACACACACACACACACACGACCGTCTAAAAACCTTTTGCCACACGCGCGCGCGCACGCTCGGATATACAGAAACTAACGGAGTTATCTCTCTCCGAGCGCACACACTCGTTTATCTACGCTTACATACGTATATATTATATACTTGTGTACATATATATATATATATAAATACGTCCGCGTGCGCGCGCTCGTTATCAGTATCATGCCGGTAGGGACTATCCGTCTAACCGTGACCGGTTGTATATACCGTACCAACAACAAGCGGGTACACACACACACGCACACGCGCACACACGCACACCGGACACAAGTCGTCGACTGGAGA